AGACAGGTAACATCAGGGGGCGGGGGGGGGGGGGGTGTCTACTCCCTCCCACTGTTTTTCTTTCCAAATGTTTTTGGAATGTCGGCCTTCCCCCTCCAAAAATTATCGTAGAGTGTTTAATTAAAAAGCTTACATTTACTTATGCTGTCCCTTAAATGACAATATTAAACAAGAGGCCCAAGGGCTTTGAATCGCTCTTCTGATAAATTGTACAATCTATCACTTCTATTAGAAGCCTCCAACTCTATTAGTATCATAAGACCCAAAATGCATCAACTTACAAAGTTTGATAATATTTAGCCAGTTAAGACTGAAGATATTATAATATAATTATAAAATACCATAAGTAGGTCACAGTGACCTACCTTTTGATTGAAATTTTCTGAGGACTCAAGATACATTAATTGACAAAGACTGATGATTCTAATTGAATAAGTACCTGAGATATTCAAAAGTAGGTCAACATAACCTACTTTTGGTCAACATTCTCTGAAAACCCAAGATGCATCATCTGACAAAGTTTGATGATTGTAAGCCAATTAGTACCAGAGATAATTAAATATAGCCATCAAATGTCAAAAGTAGGTCATGGTGACCTACTTTTTGGTTGACGTTATCCAAATACCCAAGATGCCTAAACTGACAAAATTTTATGATTCTAAGCCAATAAGCACCTGAGATATTCAAAAGTAGGTCACCGTGACCTACTTTTTGTTGGACATTCAATGAAACCGAAAGATGCCTCAACTGACAAAGTTTGATGATTCTGAGCCAATAAGTACCAGATATAAGTAAATTAATAGCCATAAAATGTTAAAAGTACGTCACAGTGACCTACTTTTTGGTCAACGTTCTCCGAAAACCCAAGGTACCTAAACTGACAATGTTTGATGATTCTAAGCTAATACGTACCTGAGATATTCAAAAGTAGGTCACTGTGACCTACTTTTTGGTCGACAATCTCCGAAAACCCAAGATGCATCAACTGACAAAGTTTGATGATTTTAGGTCAAAAAGTACTAGAGATACTTAATTATAGCCACAAAATGTCAAAAGTAGGTCACCATGACCTACTTTTTGGTCATCACTCTCCGAAAACCCAAGATGCATCAACTCACTAAGTTTGATGATTCTAAGCCAATAAGTACCGGAGATACTTAAATAAAGCCATAAAATGTCAAAAGTAGGTCACCATGACCTACTTTTTGGTCGTCACTCTTTGAAAACCCAAGATGCATCAACTCACAAAGTTTGATGATTCTAAGCCAATAAGTACCAGAGATACTTAAATAAAGCCATAAAATGTCAAAAGTAGGTCACCGTGACCTACTTTTTGGTTGTCACTCTCCGAAAACCAAATATGCATCCACTCACAAAGTTTGATTATTCTAAGCCAATAAATACCTAAGATACTTAAATATAGCCATAAAATGTCAAAAGTAGGTCATCATGACCCACATTTTGGCCGACATTTTTCAAAGACCTAAGATGCATCTACTGACCAAGTTTGATGATCATAGGTCTGAAGGTAATCAAAATATGTGTTTTAAACAATTTGAAAACAAACATCGGCAAAATTCAAATAGTAGGTCACAGTGACCTACTTTTTCATAAATATGTTTTAAGGTCCCAAGATGCATCAAAGTACAAGATTTGATGACTCTAAACCTCCCAGTGTCTGAAATAATGGGATTTAATGTTTTTAAAAGGATAAGTCATAAAGTTAAAAGAGTAGGTCACGGTGACCTACTTTTAAGTTGACATTGTTCGAAGACCCAAGATGCATCAACTGACAAAATTTGATATTCATAGGCCTTAAAGTGTCCAAAATATGCCTTCAAATCAATTTGAAAACAAATCCCCACAACATTTAAAAAGTAGGTCACCGTGACCTACTTTTGAGTTAACATGATGTGAAGTCCTAAGGTGCATCAACTTACAAGATTTGATGATCCTAGTCCTTATAGTAAGCAAAATATACATGTTTTTATTAATTGTAAATTTAGGTCAACTTTGAAGTGACCTTGAGACCACGCCCTTTGCCCCAGGGTAATTCCCCATGCAAATTTTAATCTTCGACATATCCTGATCCTTGTATGTAAGTTTGGTGAAAATCTACCTGGTGGTTATGGAGAAGAAGATTTTTTAGCAACCAGTACTTTTGGTTTTGTTTTTCTAATTATCTCCCCTTGTTTAAGGGTCCCAACCCTTATTTTAGTATAAATGGTAGCCCTTGGGCCAAGGATACCCTGTGACAAAATTGGAACTGATTGGCCAAGGGGTTCTTCAGTTATGGCCCATATTCTAAAAAGTTGACGCACACCGAACAAATGGCCATAGCATTAGCTCTTTGAGCCTTTGGCTCAGAAGAGCTAAAAATATCCACACAAAATAAGAAAATATTTTTTTAATGGCTGAATTGTATAAAATTAATAATCTTTAATGTATCACGACATCAAGCAACAAAAATTAAAGTGAAAGTACATGTATCAATTTTCATTTCATAGAATACATGTTCTATATTCATGTAACACATAGAAACCTAAAGCAATGGCGATGTTTAACTTTTGATTTATTCCCATCCTTTGCAATGAAGGTGCATTTTGTACATATTGACTAAGTGCACTGTACATGGTCCACTGTGTTTGAAAAATGCTTTGAAAAAGGTGCTTTGAAAAAGGTTGCACAAAAATTTAGTTATCTTACATGTACAGATTTTCGTGGCATTACTTTGTAATAAATTTCTTCAAGTATAAATGTAAATCATCGATTCACAAAATATGAAATTAAATACACAAAAATTTAGACATTATCTTTGCACAAAAAATGTATACAGCACATAAATCTGTCTTATTCTAAAACACTGTAGTTGACACAAAATATGAAATTAAATATACAAAAACTTAGACAGTGCATTATCTTTGCACAAAAAAATGTATAGGGCACATAAATCTGTCTTATTCTAAAACACTGTAATTCATCACTTTAAAGATGGAGAGATAACTTTTTTTCTCAAGTTTACAATGATAATCTTTTAGGCCATCAATGACTCAAACATAATACAATGTAACAATCAACAGTAAAATACACAAGACATTGCTTACAAAGTACCAGATTTAAATAAGCACACACTCAGATCTCCACATGGTAATATCTTTATCTCAGGATATAAAATTACAGTTAAACACAAATATGCTAAGTACAAATTCACATTTATACCCAATTAATCTAATTAAAATTAGATGTTAGATGTGCTTGCATACTCGCTATACTAACATTTAACAACATCCCATAGAGGGTCATGTCAGAGGTCAAATTAGGAACAGCTCTAGACTTTTTCGCTTCGACAATATACATGTACCATGATTTTGAAGGCGATGATTTGATTGGTTGATAGAATTTGACCTCTGACATGACCCTCAATGGGATGCTGTTAGAAGCTAGTATGCGAGCAGATCTAATATCTAATTTTAATTAGATTGACTTGTACCAAATTAATTTTCATTCAATGTGTTTTAACTTATCACTGACAGATATAATAAATGACATTTAAAATTAATATTTAGCTACAAGTGTGATTTACTATATAAAACCTGCATAAATAACATATGTAACACTAATTCAGGTCGATGCTATTTTAATTAGTCTTTCTTCGTTACATGAGCACATGAGATTAAATTATTCATTTAGAATTCCATTCAAAGTTTTTAATACTATGCATGCAGTGAATCAATTATTTTACAAATAAAAAATCTGGTTAATTCAAATGAAATACACCAAATGTGTTCTTGTAAGTAAAAGTTCTATTTTATGACATACAATCGAGCAAAAACGCAGTTTCTTGGTATCGGTCGCGGAAGACGAACTACTGCTGTATATGCAACAATTTCAGGGGTAATTAAAACTGTAGATGGACATGTCATCAGTCTCCAAAAAATTCCTAGAGATGCAGAGAAGAAAATATGGCTGCAGCATGCTAGATTAATTCGTAAAAACTAAAAATTCTTACATTTGTTCTGCACATTTTGTAAATAGTGATGATCAGTCTGCAGAACATCCACTACCGAAAATTTGTTTTTTATTTTATTTATTTTTTTTATTTATTTATTTTTTTTAAATAGGCCTATTCGAATATGCATCAGCATTTTATCAGTAATTTGTTTCTTTTCTGTTTTTTGTAAGAGGGGGGGGGGCTCACACAGCGCCTTATCATACTACTATACAGATTAATACAAATCCAGAAAGAGACAATGAGTGGGCAATTTAAAAAAAATACGAATCAGTTAAGATTTCCTTTTATTCACAAACACAATAACATTTTTCCATATGACAGAGGCATTACACCATGAACATGTTTACATCAAGAACGTCCGCGGAAGTGACTTTATTTGTAGCGCATGCGTATTAAACACAGTAAAAGAGTTCCCTTCAGAGGAAATAACTCACCTTTTGAAAATGGGGAATTATTGCAACAATGACACCAAAAAACTACGAAGTATATGAGCCTAAATCTGATACAAAGACATTTTAAAAAACTGGTCGCTTAAATGAACATTCATTAGAGGATTGAGAAATTTAGCACAGGGATAGATTAACTCAAGTTTGAGTCTTTAATTGAATGTAACAAGTATAAATCAAGTATTAATGTAGCATGTACACGAAACATGAAAGATGATAAAATACAATTTGCTTCTTTTCAAACATGTGCAAAACAATTCAGTAACGGTACATTGACCATGTTGACATACAGAACTTTCCATCATATTATCATAGTTGAGAATTCATCTTCAAACTAATTCCAAAAACAAACAGTATTTAACAAGAATATTCTAGCTTTTATACTCACAGTTTTTTCATCCATAAGTGCAAGGTCAATATGACACAATTTCAGATCATAATTTGAAAAATTTTATATAAAAGAAAACAAATCATAAATAAAAAGATCTTCAAACATGATGGTAACTATGGAAAATAAAGAAGTTTGATATATTTCACTTGCATAACATAATATTGCCCTTTAAATTCTAATTAAAAGTCCTTTCTTAAGAATAAATTTTAACAATACATGTGGAAGTTTCATTTACTTCATACAACCAAATAAGTAAATTTTGTAAAAAATTAAATACTAACTAAAGATATGAATTTCTTCTTTGTTCAACCTAAACTTTGGCAGTGACAGTACACGCTAAAGATGATTGGAAGCATTCTGATCTTTATATCTGGGTATACGTAGTGTCTGTTTTACACCCGCGGAACGTAAACGTCATACCATCCTGTTATGGAATAGACATAAGAGAATAAAGAGATGCCACATTATTAACAAATAATAAATCTCCATGTTCTTCATTAACAAATTATGAGATGAACCTGAATATACCTATTACTAACTGCTTTATAATACATCTCAAATAGCACTTAAAAATGTACTATACAGGGCATCTTCGCTAGCCAAGGGTTTCTGATCCTATGTCTACTCTAAAGGGGCCCGTTGTACAAAAGAACTTACGAATTAGACCAAAAAATTAAGTTGATCTTAGAATTTGGTAAAATGAATGATTCTGTTTGAAATTGCTATCATGAAAAAGTCTTGTTAAATCTTTTAACGAAAGATTAAAACAATATTCAAATCAATGTAAATGAGAAAATTATGAGCATAATTAAATTTTGGTCTTAGTCGTAAGTTCTTTTGTAAAACAGGCCCCAGTTCTTGGCAGAGAAGATCTATATATACAGGGAAATTTTGCCTCCATTCTACTGGATATCCGATTTTTCTTTCGCTATGATCTATTTTTTGTTTTTTCTGCGATCATTTTTAATTTGCAAAATATGAAACATGCAGAAATTATGTCAGCTATAACATGACAAACATTTCAATTGTAAAAATAACTTATGCAAAATGAAAACTGTACAAGTCTACCTCTTTTTCAAAAAATTTCCAATGTATGAAAAAAAATCGGATATATGATATTTGCCATAGACGAAGTGAGTGAATTTATGATAGGGCTTATTCTAAGAGTGAGTGAGATAATAAATAACTCTTTGGAGGCCACCAATATTTGTACCACTGTGCTAACAAGGCATCAAGTAGGAAGGATGAAATATTTCATGTACATACCAGACATAGAAATATATTTCTTACCTTTACAAGGAAAGGAAAATCTTTCCAGAATTCAAAATTTGGAATCATTTCTTTGCCACTGGCCCCTCGATAAAATCGTAGGAATAAAATTCCACCAATTAGATAAACCAACACAAATACGAAAAATCTGTTAAAACAATAAAACAAGTAAAGTATTGATGTCTAAAAGATTTATCCATGCATCAAACATTTTATTAAACAATAGACAATATATACAGATTTTCCTGTTAGTTAACACTGAAACAATAAACTTTTTATGATCAAGTTGTTTATATAAGGCAAAGACTAGGATATATTGCTTAATTAAATCATAACTGAAGCTTTTGTGTGGTGACTGTCACTTGTTCAAAATCTCAAAACCCATGCAAAGAGCAGGCTGTTTTTTTTTTTAATATTAAAAAATACCTCTATTAAATAGAATATGTAAGGATGGAGTTAAAGGGATGAAAATAAAATAAGTTCACTTGATTAAACAACCTAGAGGCTCAGTGCCCACAATTGAATCCCACCATACAGCATGCATACAGAAATAGTGTGCTATAAAATTTGAAGCATTTGATTTAGAAAGAGAAGCAACTTGGAAAACTTAATATGAAAATTTGTAACAGGAGGACAGACAGACAGATACACAATGGTAAAACGGTACAACCCTCTCCTTTGTAATGGGGATTTATTTATCAGGAAATGTAATCAAGTCATGTCAGGACAGCTCTTTAAATTGCATGGTCATGAAATTGACTGAAGTTCATGTTTATCAAGAGTTAATATGCTTATATGGACAGGGAACTAAAAATGCTTTCTAACACCTTAGTTTTTCACAACAAGAGGCCCACGGGCCTTATAGGTCACTTGAGTATCATGCGACAACTTTCCAACAATTGAATTTGATTCATGTTTTAAACTAAAGGCCATGAAATTCACAATTTAGAAAGAGGCACCATTGCTTATCATAATTATACACTCAGCATGCTTATTTTGGTTACTTAAAACCCAGAGGTAGATCAGAGTAACAAAGAGAAAATGCATTTTAACTTATAGTGAATTTAAGGGCCCCTGGGTCAGGGCCTCTTCTGTTAGGGTGGGCCCACAGTTGAGCTCCCCATCCCACAGCAACCACTGACCTTGGGGCCAAATCTTTCAAAATTTTGGAATTTTAAAAAATTTTTATTTCATCATGCTGTTGATTAATACCAAAGTGCAGACTTCAAAGCATTAAATTATTTCAGACTATGTTACCCCCCCCCCATAGTAACTGTCCCAGGGGACAGGAAATTAACCATTTTTGGAAGAAGCAGGTTTTTTTTCATAAATATGTACTTAGATCATTGGCATTATACCCAATAACAAAGGAAAAGATTTTCAAAGAATTCAAGCATTTTCACTATACAAACATTACAGCCACCCTCACCCCCCTCTCCCAAACACAAGAATCTCTAACCCAGGGACCCAGAAATTCAAAAATCTCAAAGAGGCATCCTTCTTCCTCATAACTATGTACATAGTTCATTGGTTAATTACTCAGGTGCAGAAAAGAAGAGTTTTAAAGAATTTATGCATTTTCACTATATATTCAATAAAGCCCCACCCTAACACCAGAACCCCCAACCCAGGGGCCCTGAAATTCACAATTTTGGAAGAGGTAGCCTTATTCAACATAACTATGTACTTGGTTGGTTTATTTAATACTCAGGAGCAAAGAAGAAGATTTTCAAAGAAATAATTCATTTTTTACTATATAATCTATATAGCCCCGCCCTACCACTAGAACCCCTGACCCTGGGGCCATGAAATTCACAATTTTGGAAAAGGCAGCCATATTCAACATAGCCATGCACTTGGTTAGTTTATATAATGCCCATGAACAGAGAAGAAGAATTTCAAAGAATTTTTGCATTTTCACTATATAATCTATATAGACCCGCCCTACCACTAGAACCCCTGACCCTGGGGCCATGAAATTCATAATTTGAGAAGAGGCTTATTCAACATAACTATGCACTTTGTTAGTTTATTTAATGCCCACAAACAGAAAAGAAGAAATTTCAAAGAAATTATGCATTTTCACTATATATTCAATAAAGCCCCGCCCTAACACCAGAACCCCCAACCCAGGGGCCCTGAAATTCACAATTTTGGAAGAGGTAGCCTTATTCAAAATAACTATGTACTTGATTAGTTTATGTAATACTCAGGAGCAAAGAAGAAGATTTTCAAAGAAATAATTCATTTTTTACTAAATAATCTATATATCCCCGCCCTACCACTAGAACCCCTGACCCTGGGGCCATGAAATTCACAATTTTGGAAAAGGTGGTCATTTTCAACTTACCTATGCACTTGGTTAGTTTATTTAATGCCCACAAACAGAAAAGAAGAATTTCAAAGAAATTATGCATTTTCACTATATAACCTGTTTAGCCCCGTCTTAGCACTAGAACCCCTGACCCTGGGGCCATGAATTTCACAATTTTGGTAGAGGACTCAATGCTGATTACAATCATACCAACAGTTTAACTGCTTGATATCCAGGAGTAAAGAAGAAGATTTTTAAAAATTGCACTAATTTTAGTGGTTTTTGCCCCACCCCCCAGGCCCCAGGGGGGCAGGGACCATGAAATTCACAATTTTTGTTCCCCTTCACCCATAAATGATATATGATAAATTTGGTTGAAATTGGTTCAGTGGTTTCAGAGAAGAAGCTAAAAATGTTCAAATGTTAACGCACGACGACAGACGAAAACAGATAGCAATAGGTCACCTGAGTTTACTCAGGTGACCTAACAAGGAGTAATGGAAATGAATTAATACTTACAAAATGAGTAAGACTGATCCTGCACTAAGTTGTTTTTTTATAATACAGGCATGTTTACTCACTAACTTGAAACTCTGTAATAAATGATAAAATGTACAATTATAAACTGATCAGCATCATCTAAACATTTCAAAAAAGCATTTATTTGAACTTCAAAGAAGAAAGTGTTTGTTGTTTTTTACTTTGAAGGATGTGTATATGCCTGTTGCTCATGTGTGTGAGTACTCAATTGGAAATACAATACGTGCTATTGTTTTTTTTTAGTATAAATTGCCAATACATGAAAGAAATCAAAAGCAGAAATATTGGTTCTTTTTTTTTTCAGAGAACTATAAACTTGAAATGCTCAAAAGTAACCAATGTAATATAGACACAACTGAATGGGATGAGAAGAAAATAGGTAGAGTTCTTTAGGTGATCAAAAATTTCAATTTACATTTCTTTATACTTCATGTACTTTCTTTTTAAAATTTTTTGTTAACATCGACAAGTATTGGTTAAAATTCATGCCATCTGATAATTTGAATAAAAATGAATTCACTTGTAATGACGAGTAACTGGAAACTTACATATATAACTATATAACTTGTCAAGAAACTGGAAACTATGTAACTATCTTGACAAGTAACTGGAAACATACATAACTATCTTGACAAGTAACTGGAAACTTACGTAACTATACACTTGACAAGTAGCTGGAAACTTACATAACTAACTTGAGGGTCTAACTTGACAATAAAGTAACTGGAAACTTACATAGTAACTGGAAACTTACATAACTAACTTGACCTTGGGGTGTTACTTTTAGCAGAGAAAACACATCATTTGAGGCATCTTCATCACAGATTAATAAAATAGTACTATTTCTGCAAAACATGAAGAAAATTATATTAAAATGTATACATATTAAGAGAGATCCAAGGGCCTAAACAAAACATAAAATGTTTGGAAAACATTATATAATGCATGTACCCTCCAAGTGACATTATGCAAAATGAAATGGTTTTAACTATAATCCCATAGCTGATATTGGAGATGGGATAACTACTATGGTGTATGCCTATTTACAAGTAGTTTTCAACTTTTATTTGCTTGATGTGTTTAACTTTTGATTCACACAAGTGGTATCATTTTTTTCTTGTGACTAAGGATGATACTTTAAAAATGTCAATGTACATACATGTATAGCAATATTTGATATTTATTGTCATACAGTCGTTTGGCCAGTTCCGAATTTTAACCAGATTCAAATAATTCTTAATTTGAGAGCTGATAATTAATACATTCAAAGGTGTAAAAATAAATTGATACCTATGGTAAGAAGAATTATTTATGAGTGTTTGAATTATGCAAAGTTTTGATTTTTTGCCATCAGTTCGGTTTTGTTATCGTACTTCAAAAAATCAACATACTTTTACAATGCAACAAATCTGAATCACCACAACGCGTAAGTCTGAATAAAAACCTCTGTAGAGACCCAATTTTTCATAAAACAACATTCCAGGTATCAAAAGTAAGTTTGATATGTACTCTAACAAATACTAAAAACTTGTCAAAAATAAATAATTAGACCACTGGAAGATATCGGAATATTTTCGTGTTGTCATTTTACTAGTTCCGAATACTTATTTTAAACACTATTATGAATTCATTCTTCATTGTTTTCTTCATTGTAAACGTGACTTATTATACCCCGCTTGAAAAGCAAGGGGAATGAGTATAGAGTGATGGGATATTTGTCCATCCATCCGTCTGTAAGTCCGTCTGTCTAGCTGTACGTCTGTCCGTCTGATACACTTTGGGGTACCTATGTCTTATCCACAACTCCTCTTCTACCACTGAATGAAATTTAATGAGGCTTCTCAGAATTTAATGAGTTTTTCACAGAATCTTTGTTAAATAGTGTCAAGTACACCTTCTATTTTATTTTTTTGATCTGGCACATAATTTGGGATCCCTTAGCATTACATGGATACTGCCATTCTTTTTAATAAAGGTATATCCATCTCTTATCCACAATTTCTGCATTCCACTGAATAAGATTTAATGATACTTTCATAGATTCTTTGTTTTATTGTGCCATTGTACATGTGATCTCTTATTTTACTTTTTGATCTGACATTTATTCTGGGTATCCCAGAGCAAAACATGGACTTTGTCATAGTAATCATATAGTAGTTCCCCTAGTTTTTCTTTATCCTTTGGAAATGCAAATAACTTATTGGTAAGCAATTAATTTAACTTTTCTTACAGGCATGTAAATGGATAATGTGTAGGGCATATATTTTTTAATTAAAAGGTTGAATTGAATGGGTACCGCTAGGGTATTTGGAACTCAACGGCTTATTCGTAACTGGTAAAATGGACACTTGTGTTAACTTGGGAAATAAATTTTTTGGGGAGAAGGCTGAACTTTTATGAAACAATATTTAATTCCACAAGTCATTGAACTACCTTGACAAAAAACTTAGATTTTGAAATAATGCTTCGTATATTTGTAGCACCGCCGAATCCGTTTCTTATTAGGAACTGTTCAAATAACTGTAGCAATGCTTAAAATGCTCTCTCAGAAATTATATAATATTATGATAATATGAAGATATAGAGATAATTCAAAAACATTGCAAATGATACAGACTCTACTAAAATTTAAGGATGTTTTCACCTTAAGGCGGAAGTAGAAGCAGTAGCTCCAGTGTAACTCAGTACAAGTTGATTTTTCTCAGGGTCTCCACTGAATGTTGCAGTTCTAATATATCCATTCACATAGGAATTCACTGTTTTTTTTCTGTCTGTCTGGCAAACCTTCCAATCCAAAAAGACACTTTTGCTATTTTTAAGCAATAACACCACACAATTCATTTACAATTACAATTAAACTGTGTTCTTCCATTCTTCATGTTCTTCATATTTGTTTATTTTTACAATAAAATGATTTTTTTGGTTCTTGTATGGAAATTAATGTTGCAGTTGTTGCATAAATGACCACTTTAATTTGGGTTATGTTTTTTTTTCTACAGTAGTTGTTGCAATATAATTACCATGATACATGTACGTACACTGTAATAACAAAGAATGGCATTTCATTGTTAAATATGTATATTTCTGAATAAATATTAAATCACAGAAGTAAAGTAGGATCACAAGCCTTCACTTAAAAAAAACATAGGTAATCAGAGATTACAGAGCTCACCTCAACGAATGTTGTCTTTAAGAAGCCAACGTCACATAATTACCCAACAAAAAGTGTTCATTCAAAAATGCAAAATTTATGCAATTTTGATCTGATACTTTGGAATAGCCCTATATAAAAAACTTCAAACTAGTTCTTCATCACAAAAATGTAATTAAAATCCAGCATCTGAAGCAAGTTTGAGAATTTTCATTCCTTGATGCATCATTTGGGCAAGTTTGGTTTATATAAGCCTTACAGTTTCTTGGTAATAGAACTGCACCCATAACTTTTACCTGGTCCATTATCTAGAAAATGTATGTTGAATTAAGCATCCAGAGCAAATTCATTAGTGTGCATCCTAAGATGTATCATCCATGCAAGTTTGCACAACATAGGGCTAATAGTTACTTAGAAATGAAACATGCATAAAAATTTAACATCTTCACTCAAAAATGTAGGTCAGATTTAGCATCCAAAGCCAACCTGGTAGAATGCAACCTTAGATTTTTCATCCATGCAAATTTGGTCATTAAAGAGCTCATAGGTACTTGGTAATTAATCCTGCATCAAAAACTTTAACCTGTTCACTCATCCAAAAAATGTAGGTCAGATTTAGCATCCAAAGAGAGTCTGGCAGTATGCATCATAAGATGTATCATCCATGCAAGTTTAGTCATTATAGGGCTCATTGTAACTTGGAAATAAAACCTGCACCAAAAGCTTTAACCTGTTCACTCATCCAGAAAATGTAGGTCAGATTCAGCATCCAAAGCACGTCTAGTAGTATGCATCCTAAGATGTACCATCCATGCAAGTTAGGTAATTATAAGGCTCACAGCATCTTGGAAATGAAACCTGCACCAAAAACTTTAACCTGTTCACTCAACCAGAAAATGTAGGACAGATTCAGCATCCGAAGCAAGCCTGGTAATGTGCATCCTTAGATGTATCATCCATGCAATTTTGGTCAACATAGGGCTTATAGTTACTTGGAAATGAGACCTGCACCAAAAACTTTAACCTGTTCACTCAGCCGTAAAATGTAGGTCAGATTCAGCATCCGAAGCAAGCCTGGTAATGTGCATCCTTAGATGTATCATCCATGCAAGTTTGGTCAACAAAGGCTGATAGTTACTTGGAAATGAGACCTGCACCAAAAACATTAACCTGTTCACTCAACCGGAAAATGTACGTCATATTCAGCATCCGAAGCAAGCATGGTAATGTGCATCCTTAGATGTATCATCCATGCAAGTTTGGTCAACATAGGGTTTATAGTTCCTTGGAAATGAGACCTACAACAAAAACTGCACCAAAAATGTTAACCTGCTCCAAAAACATTAACCTGGTAATTTCTTTGCTGAAACTGCAGCATCTGAAACTTTGACTGGTACAATGAAAAACTCTAGAAGCATCTGCCATGCATGTATAATCAATATAGGACATAGAAGTACTTAAAAAGAAAACTGCTCCAAAAAACTTAACCTTAACCTGGGATGCCGACACCGACGCCGAGGGTATTACATAAGCTCTCCCAACTTTGTTGAGGTGAGCTAAAAATGAAAAAAAAACATTGTTGTACATCGCCAATTTTCGTACATCAGATTATAACCATCAAAAGGCCTGTGGTTCAAACAAACTTTTGTCTGACACTACAAAAATGAGACTTCTGATTACTTCTCTTTGACATTGGGCATGGTTCATTTAATTTACCGGGTAACCGTATGTAGGATGCTTTTTGTCAGGTATGACTGCAGTTGTTTTTTTTATCTTAAAGGTGACAAACAGACGATGGACAAAAAATGATTAAGAATGTTGAATTGTTCAGTTAATTGAGTCTTTGGCTCAAAACGAATTCGAGAGCCCTTGCTATATACTTACAGACACTCCATTTTTTTCAGCACACGTTACTCCAGTACAGAGACTCAAGGTGTAACTATAATTTGCATCAGTAACTACTGCTGAACTATAAAAACAAAGACATAAAAATGTAATGCATGTATCATAATAATTTTAAGGCAAATTTTGTAATGAAAGAGGTCATATCTAATATACAGCTATATTATATTGTTTTGGGGTCAGTCAGTATGATATGATTTAGCCACTTGAGAAGACGTACAATATTCACTGAGCCCGAAGTGTGAGGTGGATGGAAGTAATTTGAGAGTGCATGAATAATTTTAATCATTTAAGACTTGAAAAAAAAAAAAAAAACAGCAATTGTTGTTTTATGACAGTATGATTTCATGATTAAATTAATACAAACATGCTAAGCAATCAATGCCAAGATTTTACTTTTTCATAAAAAGTCCTATCCATATGCAATGCATGTATTTAAGGAACCACTGCCTAGTTAAGAGACTATGCCAGGGCATCAACAAAAGTGGGAAACATAGGATAATTTGCACAAGGTTAGCTTTTTTAAAAAAGCTGAGGGTCAGCCACTGGAATACAGAAAGTTTCTTTCTTGTTTTGTAATGGTTTATGATTTGATCTATCCATCATGTTGTGTTCCTTACATGTAATAAATGCCAATGTAAGAAAAGTCAAATTCTTGTAATCGTTTTCTTATTTGTAACATAATGCTGTACACAATAAATACTCAGTAATAAAACATAGAGTAAATTTTAGCTAGTCTGCATCGTGATCATTGCAATGATCTCCAATAAATTCTCTTCGGCGCAGACGTCAGAGAAAGTTCATCTCATCATGTCATAGCGGTAAATGAACAAAAGCCAACATGGCAACTAAGATCACGTTGAATTCTATGAAAATGAAAAAGGAAGGTAGACTTTGTGTTAGATTGTTTAAATATTATTAAATAACAGTTTTCAGTTGTGCATTTCGAGGCAATGCATGATGTGGAGGGGGGGGGGGGCATACTGCATGTATATTATATTCAATTTCTTTGTTTGAGCATCCATTTTAGTGTTATTAGGAAAGAAAAGAATTGCTTCCAAAAAAATAATGAATGCCACAGAAAACAATTTAAAATGGAAATTCAAAATATGTTTATACATGCAGTTCGTATACTTAAAATGTCTTTGATGATGTCTACCATCATAGCAAAACTATAGATTAAAATACTGGAATCCATCTCCCCCTCTCTCTCTCCTTTCATTTGGGGGGTGGGTGGGTATTGACCCTGTCTATAAATCAGCACAGTTCTCTCAGCTATTGCATTTCCACTGTGGTCAATTTCTCAAATGTGGGCGCGGTTTACGTGTACAAGCGGACTTACACGTCCATCATCATGTAAATTCTGAGAATTTACTGTTTTACAGTGGTCTTCTTGTGTTTTATAACTTCTATCATTAGAGTGAAAAGAAATTGATCATTCTTTTTTTCACTATTTTGGGACCTTTGTGGCAAGTGGATTGTTGTGTGAATTCCAATCCGTACATGTCTTATGCAAGGTATTGAATATTGATCGAGGGAGTCTTGCATCAGGCATCAGAGGAATACACAATTTAAATCTCCGGCTTGCAATGGTGATTGAGGGAATTAATGTACTTATCTTCTATTAGAAGCAATGAAATATTTTCATAGTCGAGAACAATGAAGAACAATGCAGTCTATAAATAGATCGAGGTCATGAGTGTGCGTGAAGAAGCACGCCCTCTGGTTGGAGAAAATTGAGCAAATTTTTTTCCCACAATTCCGATTAACGCAAGCGCACTTGCAGTTTCATCCTAACGTAACTAGTCAGCCCGGGGGCTGACTAGTAATGGGCAAAGCCTGTTATGCTAAAATCGTCTTGCAAGGTCTCAGTGATAGTGGACAGTGTTGCACCACAGGCACCTGAAGTATGGATAATACCCCCCCTTTTTTTTAATGAAAAAAATGTAAGAGTGTATAATACCTCGAAAATGTAAAATTTCACGTTTAAAGAATGGCCCTATTCGGTATACATGTAATAAAAATACAGTATTTTTATTATACCGAATAGGGCCATTCTTTAAAAAAAGAAAAAGTACAATCTGCTTGCATATAACCAGTCTAGATGAACTTCAAAAATGGCGTGAAGTCTTTGGCTCCGTCATGCATTGCAGCAAAATAGCGTCCGATGTAAACAAACGATGGATTGTCGTTCGCTTTCTCCACAAATACGACTTAATAATGGCTGTATTTAGTAAACTCTGACTGGATTTTAATTTTTATTGAATAAATAATTGCACTTATTACATTATTTAGTGGTTATTGACTTATTTATTGCTCCGTATTCTTGCATAATAGTGATTTTGGATATACGACATCGGATTTAATAAAAGCGGTAAGAATTAATTTCTTAACTTAATTTATTGTCCCCTTAAATTAAATTTTATGCCTTTCCTACTATAAAGATGCTTAAATTTTACTTCCAAGACACTTAGATCGTATTTATTTTATGTAAAAAAAATTGCACATTTTTTGCGACGGAGCAGAGACACTAACAGGTTCGTTTGAGAAGACTTTTTTTTACGGTAATTTTAAAAGAATGATTTCTTAAAGTTCTTAAACTGTTAGATTATAATTCTAACAAGAGGCCCAGGGGCCACAGCGCTCACCTGAGCAGATCGGGCTTGAATTTACTCCCCCCCTCCAGGCGTTCATCATTTGAACAAACTAGAATCTACACTACCTGAGGATGATTCCATATAAATATCACTAATCATAGCTTTGAAGTACTTGAAAAGAAGATTTTAAAAGGTTTCCCTATATATCCCTATGTAAAACTTGGGTCGGCCATTTTGGCCCCACCGTAGCCACGGGGGTCATGATTTGAACAAGAGGCCCATGGGCCACATCGCTCACCTGAGCACCTTTGGTCGGCCATTGTGGCCCCATCCTACCCCCCCCCCCCCCCCCCCCCCGGGGTCATGATTTGAACAAACTTGAATCTACACTATCTGAGGATGCTTCCCTATAAATATGATCAATCATGGCTTGGCTATTCTTGAGAAGAAGATTTTTAAAGAATTTTCCTATATATTTCTATGTAAAACTTTGGTCGGCCATTTTGGCCCCGCCCTACCCCCGGGGGTCATGATTTAAACAAACTTGAATCTACACTACCTGAGAATGCTTCCATATAAATATGATCAAATATGGCTTGGCTGTTCATGAGAAGAAGATTTTTAAAGAATTTTCCTATATATTTCTATGTAAAACTTTGGTCGGCCATTTTGGCCCCGCCCTACCCCCGGGGGTCATGATTTGGACAAACTTGAATCTAAACTACCTGAGGATACTTCCACATAAATATGATCAATTCTGGCTTGGCTATTCTTGAGAAGAAGATTCTTAAAGAATTTTCCTATATATTTCTATGTTAAACTTTGGTCGGCCATTGTGGCCCTGCCCTACCCCCGGGGGTTATGATTTGAACAAACTTGAATCTACACTACCTGAGGATGCTTCCATATAAATATGATCAATTATGGCTTGGCTGTTCATGAGAAGAAGATTTTTAAAGAATTTTCCTATATATTTCTATGTAAAACTTTGGTCGGCCAGTGTGGCCCTGCTCTACCCCCGGGGGTTATGATTTGAACAAACTTGAATCTACACTACCTGAGGATGCTTCCATATAAATATGATGAATTATGGCTTTGTCATTCTTGAGAAGAAGATTTTTAAAGAATTTTCCTATATATTTCTATGTAAAACTTTGGTCGGCCATTTTGGCCCCGCCCTACCCCCGGGGGTCATGATTTGAACAAACTTGAATCTACACTACCTGAGGATGTTTCCCCATAAGTTTCAACTTTCCTGGCACAGTGGTTCTTGAGAAGAAGATTTTTAAAGCATACCACCAAATTTTCATTAATTCCCAATTATCTCCCCTTGAATGAGGGCGTTGCCTTTCATTTGAACAAACTTGAATCCCCTTCACCCAAGGATGCTTTGTGGCAAGTTTGGTTGAAATTGGCCCAGGGGTTCTTGAGAAGAAGTCGAAAATGTGAAAAGTTTACAGACAGACGGACAGACAGACAGACAGACGCCGGACAAAATGTGATCAGAAAAGCTCACTTGAGCCTTCGGCTCAGGTGAGCTAACAAACTTGAATCTACGCTACCTGAGGATGATTCCACATGAGTTTCATCTTTCCTGGCCCTGTGGATCTTCAGAAGGATTTTTAAAGATATTTCCTATATATTACTATGTAAAACTTGGGTCGGCCATTTTGGCCCCACCCTTGCCCCGGGGGTCATGATTTGAACAAATTTGAATCTACACTACCTGAGGATGATTCCCCTTGAGTTTCATCTTTCCTGGCCCAGCGGTTCTGGAGAAGAAGATTTTTAAAGATTTTTCCTCTATATTCCTATGTAAAACTTGGGTTGGCCATTTTGGCCCCACCTTTGCCCCGGCCGTCATGATTTGAACAAACTTGAATGTACACTACCTGAGGATGATTCCACATGAGTTTCAACTTTCCTGGCCCTGTGGTTCTGGAGAAGAAGATTTTTAAAGATTTTTCCTATATATTCCTATGTAAAATTTGGGTCGGCCATTTTGGCCCCACCCTTGCCCCAGGGGTCATGATTTGAACAAACTTGAATGTACACTACCTGAGGATGATTCAACATGAGTTTCATCTTTCCTGTCCCAGTGGTTCTTGAGAAGAAGATTTTAAAAATTTTTTCCTATCCCTTGCAGAAATTATTCCTGACTTGAAAATGCTTCTCAGGAATTCCTAAGATGTCCTAAGAATTCCTAAGATTTCCTCACAATCTGATTTGAGGAAATCCTAGGAGTAACAATCCTGGGATTTGATTTCAGGACATCCTAGGATCTCCCAGGACTTCTTTGTTAAACATTTCAAATCCAAATCTTGCCAGGACATTTCATTGTAAAGCCAGGAGTTAATCATTTTTATGATAATTCCATTTCCTAAGACTTTTGACTTAATGTTGGGACTTTTGTAAAAAAGACAAATTAAACTTTACAAACTTGTACATGTTAATAAATGTTAAAACAGGATGACAGGAAATTTTATTACTTTTAAAGTTTTAATGTATAATATCAAGAAAATCATAAAATGAATAATTTTCAATCATTACCTATTATACTTGATACATAGAAAGACACTGACCCTAGAACTATTTTTTAAATTAAATACTTTCTGAAATATTGATGCTGTCAGGGAGGAGTTATACATGTAATATGTTTTAAAGAAAAAAATGTTTACAGACAAACAATATTTCACCATTTTCAAATCACACATTTCTGAGTTGATTTTTATCCATTAGAATTAAATTCTACACTTAATCTTTAGATTGCTTCGTTCATGGGAAACTGAGTGCAAGCATAGTTTTCCAAAAGCACTGGTCATACAAACTTGGCCATCTTGCAATACAACATCAACAACTTTTTCTTTCTATGTAGAAGTAATATTTTCCGGAATGTTTCACTGAAAATAAAGTGTTCCTCTTAACTTAAAGTTGGTTTTCAAATGGCTTTGAATTCAGAAGACCATACATGCAGAAGGATGGAGTGGTAAATTTTCTTCATCTGTCAATTTAATTTTTCACTTCGCATTTCATTTCGACACAAAACGTATATTCCTCAGAGCACGTTATAAGAAATGGCTCTCATATACCGTCATCACCTGCATACAGGTTATATATCTCTCAAGTGGTTACCAAACTATCAGCTTCAAAGTCACATGCCTGGCTAGAAGTATCTTTTTTTTGTATCTTCTTCTTTATCAGTGTCATTTGGTTCATCAAACTGTCTTTGACTTTACTATCTTTAACATCTTCATCAAAATCTGTATGATTTTGCTGTATATTCACCCATAACTGCCAGAGATACTATACAAAAGAAAAGTAAATATTGAGTCATTGAAAGAAGAGTACACTACATAAATTTAAATACTACATAAACAGCATACTCAAGAAGCATGACTTGGTCTGTGACATTATACTTTCGTCACTTTCTGACTTAAAAAGCTTGGTATTTCAAATTTTGTTGGGTTAGAATTGTGTTGTATTGAGTTTGAGAATATAATTCCTCATGTTTTTGATATTGAGTATTGCTTTTATTTAACGAGGAAAATCTAAAAAACGCAGTAAAACTAATAGAGTTTCCTGAAAATTTTATCCACATAAACAGAGATAAAAAAAAACTTTTCAAAGGTTTTAACCAAATTCGATTCGTTACATAACTATTAAATACGATAAAAATGCGCTTTCCCTATAGGTTTTATTGCCAGATATACTAATTTTCATTCATCACTTAGCAATAAGATACTTACAGACATCGTGACAGGCTTGTAGATGCGAAGAAAAGTCGTTGTTTACAGCACAATGTGACAACTTCACGATCCGCCATATTTGTGTTTGGACGGTTTCCATGCAAATTGTTCTTGGCCTAAATGTATCATCGTGGTTCTTCGAAAATATTTTCTTCTGTAACACTTTTTGTTAGTAGAATTGGTTGATCAAGGATATTTATATTTTATTTTTCTAATATGCGGTTCGTTTGTCACTAATAATAACTTACGTGTTTTTTTTTAACAAGATTCTCGGGAAAATGTCGGGATATTTCTTAAAGGTGTACAAAATACCCCTACACCGTATCTGCAGCATTCTCTCTCGCGAACTTCCGAGAGGTGGTACAAAAAAGTGATCTTCGATCAATTAGTACCCGATGTATAAAATATATTTTACTGTCAACTCAGCTTTGAATATTAATTTGTCAGAAAATATTCGCTAAAATATATTTTCTTTTTGTAAAAAAAAAAACCGTAAATTCACATTAATCACAAATTATTTTCAAGAATTAAACAAACCGCATTTTCTTGGTGTGGCACGAAATAACTTTACACCGTCCTGTATCATCCTCTCGCGAGACCTCATCGAGAAGCGCAAAACAGGAGTTCAAGGAGCGGCAATGTTTAGAGAGACTGGTGAAATGTAATGAAATGCTCAACTTACGCCCAAGATTGACTCTAATTCTTCACATAAACCATGTTCTCTTTCCCAAAAATCTTGGTTTCGCTAGGAGTGCAGTAAAGGGAATGTTGGAAGAAGTGTAGATACCATGGCCACAGGCCAGTGGGGTAAGTGGCGAGTGGTTCCTTTAATATGTATTTAAACACACAAATATTGTTTAGTAGTTTAGTGCATGTGATGTGTTGTATAATATTTCAATATTGAAACAGAAGAAACGATTTGAATATGTGTAAAAGGTTTTTGGGCATACTGTAATTCAGTCTAGTCCATGAAGATCAAACGTACATACACAATGAAATATTTCCAGGTTTAACATGTTAAGATTTAGTAAGCAGAAGACTTATAAACAAATATTTATTATCAGTTACTGTTAAATTTGCATTGAATGTTTGGACATGGTGTAAATTTTGGAATTATACTCTTAATTAAAGCCTCCATTGCATTGTTATCTTCTAGCTAGAACCTTGAAGCCTGGCAAGGATTATGAGACTGGAAACTCCCATTGAGACTACCAAATGAAGAGAAAGTTTCAGGTATCTTGTAATCTTTTTTAAAATTTTCTTTTGTAAACTTGAAAGAATAGACGGATTTCACATTCCTAAGAGTTATCTCCGGTTGTCAGCGTAACACTCATTTTTCCCACTTTGTCCTTTGTAAGTTACCTGGAAATATTTTTATTTTCAGACATTTATATCTAACAATATCGGTCTGTAACTGTATTGCCAGAATATGGGGCAACTTTATAAACGTAATGAACAAATTCATTCATACTATATTTCTGAGATACTGACCCATAAAGTTGGTAAGGTAATAGAGGGGAAACAGTGTCTTACGCCGGTTGACCATGGATTGACCCTGCAAAGGGGAATAACTTTTGTAATGTGAAAGTCGTCTATGAAAGTTTATGGTACATTTCAATCTCTGTAACTTATATTAAGTTGGGAAAACTGACGCAGATGTCGTAGAACTTATAAGATAATATTCACAAAATTTAGAACAGAAAAATGAAAAAAATCAGCAAGAAATATCAATGACAGCCATCATTAAAATTAATTTCAGCTAGATTACAAAAGAACAAATATGTACACGTCTTATAAAAAATTTTATTGATAACTTTGCAGACTGTTTAACTCGGACTAAGGGAAAAGAAGCAAATTACAACAAGGAGAATATTGCTGAGAAAGGTAAGCTGTTCAAATAAATAATGTTAATGTATGATTTTAATGTTCTGTTCACATGGAGAGTTTAATTCACAGTATTTTAATGCCAAGTAAATTGACTTCATACGACAGCTGTGGTAAAGCGGTTAACTATTGCGAATTAAAATTTTATTTTCTACAAAAAAGCTATTCAGTAAGATTATTATGACATCATTTGTTAATCACGTCATGTATGCAATTGATTAACATACCTTATTCCTTATGCAAGTGTGAATAAAATAAATCTTTTGAGAAAAATGGTTCATCTTACTTGGGCAAACACATATTTTTATGGACTGGTAGAATCTTAAAGCTTGGTACATGTAGCATCTTTGGCTACTAAATTTTACAAGTTTGATTTTCATCCCTTAGAAATAATTACATATTTAGACTAAACAATGGAATACATTAAGTAAAATTTTATTTTAGCAAAGACAAGTGAAAAGTCGAGTGAAGAAAAAGCAAACAAGGCTTCACGATCTGCAACTAGGCCACTGGCGATGAAGAAGAAAAATGTACAGTTAAAGAAGATACATTAGTGACCAACTAAAGCTGGGCAACTTATATTGGATTGACAAGGTGCAGGGGGATATTAATTTGGGTCTGTTTATCTTTCTGTTTGTCTGTAACACTTCGTTCTCTTTACATTTCCAAAAAGCCATCAGACATTGCAATGACATTTTATATTATAAATCATTTTGACGATCCCACTGCAGAACATGATTAATCATCAATACAAATTTAATATTGTTTATAAATTAAATATTACCCATATATATTTTGAAGTGAAATGGTCAGAGGTCAAGGCCTCTTTTGGGGGCACATATTGTTTTTGCCTGTCTGTTTATCTGCCTATTGCCAATTTACCTTTTGCCATAACTTTTGAATCATGAGAGATATAGATACTTCATATTGGGTATGCTTACTCCACTTTCAAATGAGACCAAGACCAATGACCTTGACTGACATGTTATGCTAAAATATAGCCTTATTGAATCTTTTACTTTTGAACCATAAGAGGTAGAGATTTTATATTGAGTATCCATACTCCACTAATTAAGTTCTTTCAAATTACATCAAGGTTAATGAACTTGTGACTTTGACCTATATGTTTTTGGGTTTTTTTTCAAACTTTGTTGCCACCAGGTGCATACTGTTTTTGTTTTTTTTTAGGGGGGGGGTGTTATGAATTAGTTCTGTTTGGTATCTGAATCTTTTATTGTACAGAATTCTTCAGAAGTGATGAACCCTGAGGGCCTCACCCCTACTCTCTACACTAGGTTGTTGATTTAAATATTTTTTTTATTATTATTAATATTTGTCATTGTACAATTGTATATCATAAATATTCTATGAGAGCTGCTTCAGAATGTATTAACATAGTTTGAAAATAAGACAATCTGTTTCCCCCCTTGTGTGTAAATCATGATGTTGAATCATAACTGCACTATAATGTTACAGCAGTAAAATTGTAAAGAATTTGTTGTATCAGATACCATCAGCATTTTTAAAAAATTATTTTATGCATTATTTTTTCTGTGTGGCCATGAATTTTTATAATGCATACATTCATTAAATTTTTTTCAGAGATCTTATAATTCTGCTTTGTTGCTATGTATGATTTTTAAAAAAAAGAAGATGTCCTAGGAGGCTAGGATATCCTAGGAAATCCTAGGAATTCCTGATTTCCTAGGACATTTTAAGTGTTGGGGTTTTCCTGGGATATCCTGGGAAGTCTTGGTGTTTTGATTCCTGGGATTTTTCTAGAACCCCTGAATTGGGACTGTCCAAGGAAATCCCAGGAATTCCTGTTCCAAAAACATCTCAGGATATCTTAGGAATAATCCTAGGATTTTTTCAAGATATCTGAGGAATAAATCTTGAGATTGTCTCAGGATTTCTTAGGACATCTCAGGAATATTCTGCAAGGGTTATATTCCTATGTAAAACTAGGGTCGGCCATTTTTGCCCCACCCTTGCCCCAGGGATCATGATTTGAACAAACCTGAATCTACACTACCTGAGAATGATTCCACATGAGTTTCATCTTTCCTGTCCTAGTGGTTCTTGAGAAGAAGATTTTTAAAGATTTTTCCTATATATTCCTATGTAAAACTTGGGTCGGCCATTTTGGCCCCACCCTTGCCCCGGGGGTCATGATTTGAACAAACTTGAATCTACACTACCTGAGGATGCTTCCACATAATTTCATCTTTCCTGGCCCATCGGTTCTGGAGAAGAAGATTTTTTAAAAATGCCATTAATTTTTAACAAATTTATGATTATCTCCCCTTGGAAAAGGGCATGGCCCTTCATTTGAACAAACTTGAATCCCCTTTACCCAAGGATACTTTGTGCCAAGTTTGGTTGAAATCGGCCCAGTGGTTCTCGAGAAGAAGATGAAAATGTGAAAAGTTTACGACAACAACGACAACAACAACGATGACAACGACAGACGACGGACAAATTTTGATCAGAAAAGTTCACTTGAGCCTTCGGCTCAGGTGAGCTAAAAATGTTTTCAGGATAATATCTGTTCATATGTGATAACTTACGCTCTCAATTCAGATTTCATACAGGATTATACGACGAAATATTATGAATGGGTAAAATTTGGTCAATGTTTAACAGTTACAACATATATTATTCAGTTTTACATATTTTTCCCTTTTATCATGCATATTATATTTAATTCACAAACGTTTAATTTTCTTTGTAATTGATCTAACTTGAAACATGAACTTTTTGCAAATAAAACAAAAAATCTAACAAATACGATCTCTTCAGCAATAGAGGAAATGTGGAAACTGAATGGATTCTCATGAAACTGTCACCTGATCGACTTTTATTTATTATTAAAACCATCAATTCAGTACTTTTTTAATTAATGGTAAGATGTATTTACAATGTGGTTGCTCATTGCTGCTCTAAACATGCTAAATTCATTCGTACACGATAGACATGAAAGACAGAGGAAATTCGAACAACTGAAAATTCGCCAGTGTCCCTGATACTAACAAAAAAACTTCTAAAATCAGTAAAAGTAGTTTTTAAATGACTAACTTAGTCACTGCAAACAAATTATCAATCACAGAGATGTTTTCATAAGATTAAGACTGTTTAATTTGTATTCTGTATCCTACTTGTACGAGGTCTGGCTGAAGCTCGAAGTTGGTCAACTTTGACTTGAAATTAAAAACTATTTGCACATGAAATCAAAATTCTAACAAATACGTTCTCTAGAAACATTTATTATTAATCATTTCTGAGAACTTGTAAACATTATTGCAAGGTAATCCAATTTTTTGCAAAAGCATTTTTTTGTAAGAGCCCACTTTTCACGACTTTTCACCGTTTTTTGATATAACTGCACATGCGTGGACTCGATTTTTGGAGTCTTTTCTGGACTGAAATTCTCACTTCCGTTAACGTCGTTTTTGGAGTTCGTCTAGACTGTATAACGACATATAGATGTGTTTGATGGGGAAATTTTTATATTTTTGAGGTATTATACACTCATACATTTTTTTTCAATAAAACAGGGGGGTATAATATCCATACTTCAGGTGCCTGTGGTTACACTACTGGTGCTCAAGAAATAATTTTATATCAATGCTTCCATTCGATGTAATTTGAGAAAAAGGTGGGACAAGCATATTTTTGGGCAGGACAAGTAGTTTTACGATGGTAACCTGTCCGAGGGCAAGTACTGCAGAATTCTAGTTGTCTACCCCCTGCACTTCTCTTAAAGAGAATAAGCCATGGACCTTTACCATTCAAGAGCTACTGTGCAGTTCTTGTGTAAAAAAAATTATTTGATATTTGCATTCATATGTCATGTATGTCAAGCATTCCATTTTATAATTATATGTTTTCCGTATTTGTGTCCTCTAGCTTTAGAAACACCAGTCCTTCACCAGGGATATCAATAACTTTCAGATTACAGCTGAAGATATTTAGCAACACCAATGTCAAACTCAGAGGTCTACTTTCGCTTCACTACGTACCTCGGCAAAGCCGTCAGATCCACCACTCCATCTGCAGTTTTACACTTGCATGGACTGAGCTTTTGACAAACATCTGCCTGCACTATCATCGTTATCTGTAGTAACCAGATAATAATGATATCCACCTCCATGATACCGAATACAAACAGGTCATGTGCCAAGTTAAAGTAAACAGTAAAACACAGAAGGACGATAGTCTTGTGACCCAAAAACTGGTTCTCGTGTTATCGGCTACCAGTTTAAGAAGGGGGTGGGTCCAAGATAGTCAGTTGATTGCACTGGCGGATTTAAGGGGGGGCGTGGGGGGCGCACGCCCCCCTAAAATTTTCAAAGTATGATGTGACTAATATTTATAATGCCACATTTTGGTACAAAACCAACCAAACCACTGTTATTCTGCCTGGTTTTACTCTTAAAATACACAAAGATCAAGGAGCTTCCGGGGGCTGCGCCCCTTGGTCCCCCCATTCAAAGTATGATATAACTTGGTATTAAACACGGCGTACTTTGGTACATTACTAACCAATACCACTATTAGTAAGTACTAAGTAGGTAAATCGTTTATTATGGAGGCATGTGTTACAATACAATGAAAACTGAGAAACATTCAATACAATATTATCATTCAAACATCCGAAACTACCCTAACAAAAAAGTACTATAGTTAACTATAGTAAATCAAAGTTTTCACTATAGTAAATCAAAGTATTTTAACTATGAATTTCAGATAGATATATTTTATTTATTAAACTTCGTACAAATACTTTTCTGGAATTAAAATGAAGTATTCCTTGTATATTTACATATTTTATCAAAAAAGGACTTCATTAGTATGTAATTAAAGATATATTAAGGCTTTAAATCTTCAAAAAAGTTTTAGAGCAAAGTTTCATAGTAAATCAAAGTGTCAAAGTTTTCACTTTAGTTAACTATAGTAAATTTTTGTTAGGGTATATGCCACTTTTAACAAAAAAAATTGAAAAATATGCACTATTATAGTGCCTGGTTTTACTCTAAAATACACGAAAACCCAGGAGCGCCCCCTGGGCCCTCACCCGGGCTTCGCCCTGGACCCACTGGGGGCCTTAAGGCGGCCCCCAGACCCCTTGTCTCAACAAAGTTATCCACGCCCCCCCTAACCACAAATCCTGTATCCGCCCCTGGATTGCATGTTCACAATGAGTCGCCGAGCGATGTAACTTGTTTGCTTTATTGTTTGAGATAATTTATTTTAATCAAATGTCACTGGCAAGAGGCCCGTAGCCACACTAGGCCCACAGATTCAAAAAAGGTTGGCCTTCCCAAAAATCTGACAGTTCTCAATCGAAAATCCTATATTGGTAGGGGTTTGGAGAAGCTGAACCTTTCTCTTACTGTTGGTACACTTAATTCAAAGTCACAAAATTTCTCCTTTTTTCGAGCTTTGTATTATCAACAAAAACTGGAAGGGGAGGGGGGTGGTAGAGAAAATTTTAATGTGGCAAAACACCCCAGTCCCCTGATTCATATGCATGTATAAAATTTTATGTATTATAAGACATAGCTGGAAAACAAACTACATGTTTAACATACACCTTGAAAATTAATTGAGACATTTAGAATTCACACGTTAAAATTTTATTCTTTCATTCAAAAAACTTTTAGAAATTATATGCATCGAACTGCAATCAAGAAATTGAAAGGGATTTTTGCAAATTATTTTAAGGAAAGTCTGAAATTTTTCACTGGTTGAGAATGGTTGCCACGTATGTATGGTTGTATACACGTAGATCCAGAAAGGGATTTTTAATTCCTCTCAATGAGTTTGATCCGTTTTTTTTTCTTTTTACAGATAGCATATCAGTAAATCGATAACTATTGTGAGCGTTTTTAGAAAGAAAATCTCTAATTCCGTATTTCACCCCCTCCCCCCTCATCTTAATATAGAACACTGCTATAAAAGTTTGAAGTATTTAATTATGTATCACTTTTCCCGGTCTTTAAACATTGAAGCTTTTAAATAAATGTAACATTGAAAACGTTTATTAAAAGGCCAATTTTTCAAACCCCCTTTTTGCAAAATACTCAAACCAGGGTAATGTATAATTAACAATGTAATTCCTAAAGAAATTGGAATCCAACACACTCCCAACCCATCTCCCCAAATAGGATGTTCGATTTTGGACAAATGACATTTATTACATTTTTTTTTAAAGTTTATTTTCTCCTCCCCTTTAAAAACGACGCCAAGTCCCTCTAAAAAGCTAAAAAAAAAAAAAAGTTTTCAACATTGACTACCATGCAATCTTTATCTATAGATGCAAGAATTTACCACATTAAATTCAATATTGTTACATGTTTGTAAAAAGTTAATGAAGATGAACATTTTCCCTTCTTGATACATGTAACAATAACAATATGAATTCAACAGGAGCTAAAAAGGCAATAAAATATAAAGAAAACGAATTGTATTAGCTCATTACATGTACGTAGTCCATTTGGAATAATACAAGTGTGGGCATAGCAAACATGGACCTTTAAAATTAAAACAAGGTGGGATCAGGTGCCATGAAGGTGTAAGCAACCCAGTCGACCGGTCAAAATTTTTCCGCTGTGTGCTCCAATCGACAATTCAGTGTAAAGAAAATGACCTTAAAATTACAATAACAATGTCAGCCAATTTCATCATAGATTAGATTATATGTATCCACCAAATAATTTGCGAAATGTTGACTTTAAAGGAGACTATTGATACCCTTGTTTCATCAACTTATATTTGTTAGCCTGCCTTAAAGTCCTCATACAGAGAGCACGCTCTTTCATTTCGAATCAGATGCGAGACAGGTGCTAAATGAATGTCTAAAGCAGCAAAATCTTCACTTAACTTAATTTAAAACCACAGAATATATTGTTTCTATGTTTACATTATGTACAATGTATATATCCATAAATATCAATCCATTTTTATGCTACATCTGTGCTTAAAGAAGTTAACAATGTAAATGTATGCGCAGCAGTTGTGATTTCTATAGCCTTGCTTTTCCGTAAGAGACTGTGAAGCCGTGTGAATCAAAGGTTAGCAACGCATTTTTGCGACTACACTGTGCAACCATGGCAACCATTAAAGTTAAAAAAAAAAATATATTGCCAAACCTTATTAAAAGAGGCCAACATCTTGTTTTGGTGATTAAGTCGACCATGTACGGTATTTGAAATATCAATGTGAATAATTAACATTTTTCAGCTTTTGAAATGTACGATGGTTACCAGACTTGTATGCAATGATTTTTTTTTTCTAATTTTTATGCTTCCGTAATAGAAGATTCGGCGATATAGTTTTTTGTCCTGTCCGTCCGTCTGTCTAGCTGTTTTATCTGCAAACACTTTTACGTTGCCCATAACTAAATTTAGTGGGTGTGGCTGTGGCATTCATATTTCACAGGTGTATTCCTTGTGACAAGACCATTCTTTGGGTACCACAAAATTTGACCTCCTGACCTTGCAGTTTGACCCTCTGTTACAAAAACTCACCACACTTTAACCTTGGCAAAAACTTTTGAGCAGTTGGTGCTAGGATTTTCATACTTCACATTTGTATTCATTGCCACAAAACCTTTCAATGAGTATAAATTTTTTTTACCAATTGACCTTGACCTTAGAGTTTGATCCACTTTTTTGGCCATAACTTTTAAACAGTTAGCACTATGGCTTTCCTATTACACATGTGTATTCTTTGTGACAAGACCCTCCTCTGGATAACAACAATTTTGACCTTGACCTTTGAAGTTTGACTTGTATTGGAGAAACTTTAATTCTCACCATTAGCTACCATACTGGAGCATCAGTGTTTCACAAACACATCTTGTTTTAACAGCAAATAAGTGGCATCAAAAGTGCGAGTTATTTCTTCGACTTTTTAGTTTTCATCAAGGCTCCATAATTATTCAAAGTATCTATATCATGTCATTATAAAGACTAATGAGTACAAGCAACACTCAGGTTTTCATCAATTAATTAAATGTTTATTCAAAACAAGAGACAAAACTGAGGGCATAATTAATGTAAAAAAAAAAAACAACAAAAAAACAACAATAGTAAATTAGTTTTCAAAACATAGAAAAATAAACACAAATATTCTGGATTTAATTTACTTTATAAGTTATTCAAAAGTGTTTCTGCAATCCATTCTTATCAGCATAAAAACAACATTTTATTCATATACAGTAGTTCTCTTATGGATATAAAAATTACAATGTATTAAAGAATATATATGTTCAAAGTATCACAAGAACTTTCTGCTATCACAGTTGACGATTCCATCAGTGACGTGCCTACACATTAAGGATGGCCTCATGTTTTCCATCATACGATCCCTGACCAAATAGGTACAGTGTACGTGATTCCTCTCCCAGCTGTCCACAGAATTTATACACCCCCTCATACATCTCAGCATGCCTGTACAAACAAAGATTTATAGTAAGATATAAAAATTAAACACTTTCTGATACAGCCTATAGCATTCCTGTGATAGAGACTTACTTAGAAGTCCCTTTGGCTTAATTACATGCAAGTCCCAGGTATGCGTACAAGTCATATTACTACAAACACTCACCTAATATTTGGGACCTTTGATTAAACACAGTCAAATAATTTTTACTTGCATATAATTATTTTCAACCTAAGAAATTTATCTTCCTATGATTTTTAAGACTTAATGGATCATATTTACATCCCAATTTCTGCAAGCACTACCTGCTTCAATATTTATACAGTACATAACTGTAAACCAACTTTTATTTACGTGCAAGAAAAATCTGTGAGTTTTGTGACCCACATTCTCTAGTGAATATCAATCGCCATGGACAATTTCTTTTGCTTTGCATTCGTAAAGAATTTTTCCTCAGTCGAGAAAATTTATTGTCGTGGATTGATTTCAAACTGAAAAATTGTGAATAAAAGATGACATGATGGAGCTTGAATAATAGTTGGTTTACAGTACATGGAGATTCCTTGGGCTACACACACTAGACTTACTTGGCAGTGAAGTACAGCCTGAGGAGTGTTTTGCTGTCACACTTGACTTACTTGGCAGTGATGTTTTGCTGTCACACTTGACTTACTTTGCAGTGATGTTTTGCTGTCACACTTGACTTACTTGGCAGTGATGTTTTGCTGTAATACTTGACTTACTTGGCAGTGATGTTTTGCTGTCACACTTGACTTACTTGGCAGTGATGTTTTGCTGTCATACTTGACTTACTTGGCAGTGATGTTTTGCTGTCATACCTGACTTACTTGGCAGTGATGTTTTGCTGTCACACTTGACTTACTTGGCAGTGATGTTTTGCTGTCATACTTGACTTACTTGGCAGTGATGTTTTGCTGTCACACTTGACTTACTTGGCAGTGATATTTTGCTGTCATACTTGACTTACTTGGCAGTGATATTTTGCTGTCATACTTGACTTACTTGGCAGTGATATTTTGCTGTCACACTTGACTTACTTGGCAGTGATATTTTGCTGTCATACTTGACTTACTTGGCAGTGATGTTTTGCTGTCACACTTGACTTACTTGGCAGTGATGTTTTGCTGTCACACTTGACTTACTTGGCAGTGATGTTTTGCTGTCACACTTGACTTACTTGGCAGTGATGTTTTGCTGTCACACTTGACTTACTTGGCAGTGATGTTTTGCTGTCACACTTGACTTACTTGGCAGTGATGTTTTGCTGTCATACTTGACTTACTTGGCAGTGATGTTTTGCTGTCACACTTGACTTACTTGGCAGTGATATTTTGCTGTCATACTTGACTTACTTGGCAGTGATATTTTGCTGTCATACTTGACTTACTTGGCAGTGATATTTTGCTGTCATACTTGACTTACTTGGCAGTGATATTTTGCTGTCATACTTGACTTACTTGGCAGTGATGTTTTGCTGTCACACTTGACTTACTTGGCAGTGATGTTTTGCTGTCACACTTGACTTACTTGGCAGTGATGTTTTGCTGTCAAACTAAACTTACTTGGCAGTGATGTTTTGCTGTCACACTTGACTTACTTGGCAGTGATGTTTTGCTGTAATACTTGACTTACTTGGCAGTGATGTTTTGCTGTCACACTTGACTTACTTGGCAGTGATGTTTTGCTGTCAAACTAAACTTACTTGGCAGTGATGTTTTGCTGTCACACTTGACTTACTTGGCAGTGATGTTTTGCTGTCAAACTAAACTTACTTGGCAGTGATGTTTTGCTGTCACACTTGACTTACTTGGCAGTGATGTTTTGCTGTCAAACTTGACTTACTTGGCAGTGATGTTTTGCTGTCACACTTGACTTACTTGGCAATGATGTTTTGCTGTCATACTTGACTTACTTGGCAGTGATGTTTTGCTGTCGTACTTGACTTACTTGGCAGTGATGTTTTGCTGTCACACTTGACTTACTTGGCAGTGATGTTTTGCTGTCACACTTGACTTACTTGGCAGTGATGTTTTGCTGTCACACTTGACTTACTTGGCAGTGATGTTTTGCTGTCAAACTAAACTTACTTGGCAGTGATGTTTTGCTGTCACACTTGACTTACTTGGCAGTGATGTTTTGCTGTCAAACTAAACTTACTTGGCAGTGATGTTTTGCTGTCACACTTGACTTACTTGGCAGTGATGTTTTGCTGTCAAACTAAACTTACTTGGCAGTGATGTTTTGCTGTCACACTTGACTTACTTGGCAGTGATGTTTTGCTGTCAAACTAAACTTACTTGGCAGTGATGTTTTGCTGTCACACTTGACTTACTTGGCAGTGATGTTTTGCTGTCACACTTGACTTACTTGGCAGTGATGTTTTGCTGTCAAACTTGACTTACTTGGCAGTGATGTTTTGCTGTCACACTTGACTTACTTGGCAGTGATGTTTTGCTGTCATACTTGACTTACTTGGCAGTGATGTTTTGCTGTCACACTTGACTTACTTGGCAGTGATGTTTTGCTGTCACACTTGACTTACTTGGCAGTGATGTTTTGCTGTCATACTTGACTTACTTGGCAGTGATGTTTTGCTGTCATACTTGACTTACTTGGCAATGATGTTTTGCTGTCACACTTGACTTACTTGGCAGTGATGTTTTGCTGTCACACTTGACTTACTTGGCAGTGATGTTTTGCTTTGACTTACTTGGCAGTGATGTTTTGCTGTCAAACTAAACTTACTTGGCAGTGATGTTTTGCTGTCACACTTGACTTACTTGGCAGTGATGTTTTGCTGTCAAACTAAACTTACTTGGCAGTGATGTTTTGCTGTCACACTTGACTTACTTGGCAGTGATGTTTTGCTGTCAAACTAAACTTACTTGGCAGTGATGTTTTGCTGTCACACTTGACTTACTTGGCAGTGATGTTTTGCTGTCAAACTAAACTTACTTGGCAGTGATGTTTTGCTGTCACACTTGACTTACTTGGCAGTGATGTTTTGCTGTCAAACTAGACTTACTTGGCAGTGATGTTTTGCTGTCACACTTGACTTACTTGGCAGTGATGTTTTGCTGTCAAACTAGACTTACTTGGCAGTGAAGTACACCCTAAGCATTGTTTTGCAGTCACACTCGACTTACTTGGCAGTAATGTTTTGCTGTCAAACTAGACTTACTTGGCAGTGATGTTTTGCTGTCAAACTAGACTTACTTGGCAGTGATGTTTTGCTGTCAAACTAGACTTACTTGGCAGTGAAGTATACCCTAAGCATTGTTTTGCAGTGAAACTTGACTTACTTGGCAGTGAAGTACACCCTGAGCAGTGTTTTGCTGTCACTGATGTGGGTTATGTGGGCTTCTAATGTCCCAGAGCTTGGCTCCACACAAAATGTGTTCTGTGCACAAGTGTCTGAACAGTTGTCTACAAGGGGAAAAAAATCATTTAAGTTCAGAAACATGCTACTATAAAATTAATTAAAATAAATAATCTGTTTTTCAAGTTGAAGCAAACACTCTCAAAGAATGGTTTATAGCCATAGCAAATTCTACTCAGAATTTCATTGGTATAATTATTATTTTTGGGGGGGGGGTGGAGGGCTAGTCTTTAACATAATTATATTGCTCCATTACTGGTTCACAATTGGTTGGTCCTACAACAATTAATAAGGTGACTCTCCAGATTGATTGTGGAACTATTGATGGCACAGACAAATCTCTACATGATAAAATCAGTCCTAGTACCAGAAGTCAACAATTTGAACAAATATGATGCATAAAGTAAAAAGAAATGAAAACAGGCATAAACTTTACCTGTGAACTTAAGGTATATGGGAAGAATTTATGCCTGTATCTCTTTAATTTTCACTTAATAATAAAAAATTCCCTATTTCTGTGGTTCTAATACAGAGTAATAAAAACAAATTGAAAAACATTGTTTTTTACCATAGGACCAAAGCTATGATAATAAATGACATTAACCTTCATTTTAAAATGATATTATCTAAGGAAAAAAAACCTACCCATGAAGGATGTCCAATAGGAGTGGGAGGCTGTCTTGTTATAAATGAGGATCTGTCGCTCCCTTCTCTGTCCCACTAGACATGTACCAAAGTCCAGGGATTCTGTGGACAGTTCCATCTGAGGCAGGGATAAAGTGGCATAAAGAGGAATTCTCTACAAGTAGGAAAACAGGATTCTTTATCTGAAAAGCTGCCTAATGAATATGAATAGAAAACAACAAATAATTTAACAGTTTAAAGGTTAAATTCTTTAAGCTTTGGGTAACAGCTGCATTACAAAATATAAGAAAATGAGAAAGATCAAGCTTTGTAAAACTTTGTGCATTTCAATTTTTTGGGCAAATAAAATTAATGTCAACATCCCTTTGTTGCATGGAAGACTAAAGTTCTGAAACTGCATGGTTATCATCATGATCAGAAAAGGTGAACTATCAATCAAAATCAGTAAGGAATATACGGTAAATGAAAAATAACTTTTTAATACCTGTGTAGTGGAATTGTTAAATTCTATAATAAGGTTGTCCTGGATTTCTAGCTTCTTGCCCTCTGTGACATTGGTATCCGCCGTATCAGCCGTTGACACAGGTGACCCCTCACCTTGAGGGAGAAGGTCAAGGCTGGTCTGGAAGGCCACTTGTACCTGGAGAGAAAAGAACCAGAAACTTGCAATTTCTGTGTTTCTTTTATTTTCTTTTAAAGAATGGCCAAATGGCTATACATTAAGCTTTCAAGCTCAGGTGAGCTAAAATACTGGAAACAGAGAAATTTTCACCCTGTTTTATTTTCGCCCCTTTAACCCTGTTCATGGTTTGGCAAATTTAAAATGGGGCGATTTCAAAGAACACAGCAAAATTTCTTAAACAGAACTATGAATGGGTGAATTTAAAACAGGGCAAAATTGTTCCCAAGTGTAAAAGGCCGAAAATAACACGGTTGAAATTAATACTTTATACAGTACTAGTCTGAGACTTACAATAAGGTTATGATTAGGTCGTAGAGTCTGCATCTGAGTGGCTGTTGTTCTGTCAGACAATTCCTCATTGGTAGTGGGATCGACATCCACCATTAGGAATGGCTTCTTGGTCATCATCCTAAACACTAGAGGAGTCTCTGTGTTGTTGGACAGCATGGCAGTGCTGATTCTTAAACTCTCCCTGGATACCTGAACAAAGCAGATAAAAAACTTAATTACTTTAACAGGTAGAAAAATAATTTTAAGGACAAAAGTTTTATGAGTTGGTTCATATTAACAGAAAAAAGTAAAATTTGAAACCAACATCTGTGAGCTAAACATATAACTTACAAGACAAAAATTCATCTAACAACTGTTCAATAAAAACTGAGAAAAGTTAAACTTGAAACTAATATTTGAGGGTTAAAACTTTGTATAAGAGAAGTACATGTAATGCAAATATAATTACTGCATGTAGTTGAGGATAACAATGAAGTAAACTTACTTGGCCTTCATCCTGTAACAGATCACTCATGGCTGATCTGTATCTCATTCCCTCATCATCATGACACTCCATGGTCAATCTACAATTAATACAACAAAATTAAATCTTTCTAATTTACCTGATAAACAGTCAAAAAGAATACAAAATTAACACATGTAGCTGAGAACTGAAAAGTGGACTTACAGTGCTGGTTTGATGTGGGCTGTCATGTCTAGTTTTAATGGCTCCACATTGTAACCTTGACCTCTCTCCACTTTACCTTCAACTTTAGCTCCCTGTTAATTATAAAAAAAATGTAACTCCACATGAAAACTAAAGCCTCTTTTTCAAACTTCCTGCCAAAATAAGGGACATAAGACCATTTTTCAATTTGTTTTTTGTCTTCAAAAGTTACTATCTTTTGTAATAGTTTTGCAGGAAGTTAAAATCACAAACTTAATATAGTTATTAGTTTTCTGAAATGAAATGTATGGAGATAACAAACATTATTCAAGCTCAAAATTCCACTAAACAATGTAAATCAGGAGCAAAGCAAACAAGGACCTTTTGTTCTTCTATGCTCATGTATATTATTGTAAAATTGAAAAGCTTTATAAATATTGTATGGCTATTGAGATTTTACATAAGGGAGAGGACTATTTAAGTTTTTGCAACTTGTGTCCAATCCCTTCGACATATTGTCAATAAAACATGTTCAAAACAAAGCATCAGAGGTGGGATCAGGTACGATGAAGGAGTGAGCATCCCCTGCAGAATGATTACACCAGCCAAGGTATAATTACGTATCATATTACCTTGTCCAAACTCATGTAACCCAGGGCAAATCCATAACAATCCATGTCCTTGATTACCTCCTCTGTAGGGAAGGGTGTGAAGGCAAAGTTTACACTGGCAAAACCCCTGGCTGGGATCACCTAAAAGTAAAAGACATTTATGTAACAATCTTGACTTTATCAATTTCCATTAATTTTTTTTTAATTAGGGAATTAATTTATCAGAATAGAGAAAATGGTTGCAAAACAATTTTGATCATTTAATAATGAGAATAAATAGATTTTCTGAAGATCATATTTCCAATTAATTTTGCTGTAATAACAGGGTTTTTTTTGTAAAAATCTAGCTTTCATCTAATTTATGGGCAAGGAGAAAGTTGAATATGGTAACATACATTATTAAAGTCATATTATGTCAGAACTCAAATCATCAACACATCTCCATATATTCATATATATTACAATCAACAAGTGGCCTATGGGCCTCAAAGCTTACCTGACCCACTGTGTACAGTTTGAAAACAAAAGGTGAGTAAAACATGTAAGACCTGGGAGTACAGATGCTTACCAGTTGTTTAGCTTTAACACTGTACGGAGCCTGAGCAGGCACACCCTCGTGAGCCTGGTGAAACACAGAGATAATAGGAATCCTCTTGGCCATCAGCTCAGCCTCTGTGGGGATGGGCTGGGATGTTTTGGTACTGACTTGTGTACGGGTGGATCCGGCAGAGGTGGAAGGGGTGTTAGGTATGAAGTCAGAGGGCTGCCTCTTAACCGGTTTGGGCACTGAAAGGTTCAGTTTGATAAAGCTAGTCAGATATTATCATGCAATGATAGCAGAACTTTATGTAACAATTAAAAAGACAAAATACCAAAAAATAAAAATAGGACATAAGGACACAATTACAATGTATAATGCAGACCCCACAAAAAATTTCACACAGTGACAACATTTAGCATGCATGCAGGCACCCATCATGCAATGACAATGCAGGCTGGTGGATATGTTAGTTAATTTCTTGGAACATCTCTTCCAAGGGTGCCTCATTGATCCTTTTTATTGCAAAATCAATAAAATAAAAACAAATCACTTCCCTCATCATTTTTTGAGTTTTGTACAATGTAAAAAGCTACTTCATCATGTTTTGGGGGCAATAATCATATTTCTTGAAAAAAGGCCTAAGAACCAAGTAATTAACTTTGCATGGCCTTAGTTTGGTACATTTTGTGAAGGAATATTAAACTCACAAAAAAAGACTCATCCAGTTTATAGAATTTGTAATACTAATTTAATGATACCTTTATCTGCAAGGCTCTATCACATAAATATTCTCATGCTGTTCATTATTATCTGAGTTTTTTTATCATAATTTTTTATTTGCTCTTTATTATTGCTTTTTGATTTCTTTTGGGAAGAATTAATACTCTTAAGGAACAAAGTTTAAATTACAGAAATAATTCTTCAAAAATCAAATTGTAAAATGAGGTATATCATACATGTAGAATTAATCATTGTTTGGGTCTTTTTCAAAGAACAAGCTCTTATCAAAGAAGTTGACCCTTCAGGGTTCTTTTTTGATGACCAAAACAATGCAATAGTTCATAACAGTGTGCACAAAATTGGAAGGTTTCAATCTTATCCAATTTTTCACAATTGCTCCAGTCTTACTGCAAAATTTAACAATTTTGGCCCTATACAATTTTATGCAATAAATCTTGATAGTACATAAATTTGCATGCAATACTAATGATAAATTTCCTGTGAATGCATACATGATACATATACACAAGTACAACAAAGTGCAGAGTAAGGAAGAGTATGTCTGATTACAGGTATGATAATTAGTACAATGTACATAATTAATTAGTAGGATTGAGTCGTCAGTGTAGATTTCACACAGACTTACCAACAACTTCTTCACCTGAGTACAAAAGTTATACACAGAACATTAACATCCCGCACCATATTGCAATATACATAACAAATAGGTGGAAACTTACACATGGAGGTTATATATACCGGTATTCATGCTAACTACACAAGATAGGATTTTTCTGCATGTTGAATGTGGAACAGCTAAGGAAAAATAATCTTCATGCTGCATCCAATTGCTTTCACATAACATGCAAAAACTTCCATGTTTTGAGGAAATAACAAAAGCAAAGCAGAACTGTTCAGATCTATTGATTAATGTTAACTTCTTTTCACCTCTGTATTAAATATACCAAAGAATTTTTAATAACCAAAGAAATTGAATTAAATGCTTTCATTCTGTTTATCCCTGGCCACTAAATTGATGTTAACATTAAGAAATTAATTTGGTTAAGAATTTTGCATATTTATGACTAGGATCTAAATTTGAATAAAAAAAATTTAGTTGATATGTATAAATGAACCTATATAGCTAGTACATGTATATGATTATAGGATTTTCTGATTTTTGACATAGTGGGATTACATCTTTATAGCATTTATTTTACAATTGTAAGTAAATAAATATGTAAATTTCAAAATGAATTAAGGCAAAAAAAATATCACTTCATTTATCTCCCAAAGCATATGTTAATTATTGCCCCTGACCCTATATCAAATAAACTTCCACATAGAAAAGGTTTGCCTATTACCCTTTTTAAAAGTTGCTAAATCAATAAAATATAATAATTACATCATTTTGCATACAATGTCATATATTTTTTAAGGTTTTGTACAATGTAAAAAGCTCCTACCTTCATGTTTTTCCTTGGTTGTCCAGTTTTGGAAAAGAAAAAAAAATCCAGAGTTTTCTTGTCCTCTTTCTCTACATTGAAAACACTCCAGTCTACCCTCAGATCTGAGTACAAAAGAAAAAAAAAACATCAGTAATTAACTTTGCATTTCACTTATAGTTTAAGCAATATCACTTCATTAATTAATCTCCCAAAGCATATGTGAAAAAGTTCCCCTGAAACAGCCCAGTATATCAAATCATAGAAGTTATTTCAAAACACCCGTGAAATATGAAATTTTAAGTGCGACAGATTATGAAAATATTTGGATCTTGAGTCAGGAGATTTTGGCACATTTGCTGAATATAGCAATGATTGCTCTACTCTATTTTTGACTCATGTTAAAGCATTTGCATTGTTTTCTGTACATCTTTTTGCTCTTATACCAAGTCATCAGTAATAAAAACAAATAAATTTCACTGAATATTCTAATATACATTTATTGCATGATAGTGAGGGAAATATGAAGACCTATTCCTACCATATTTCCCAGGGCGGAATATGATATTTCCTTGCCTCTGTTGTCAATGAGTTTTTATTATACCGAAACAAGCAAAACCTTTGAAATAAACATAAACTTTCAAATTCGGCACCGCTCTCAAATTTACCTTCATTTTTAACAAAACATTACTAAAACTCTTTGGTCAACATATTATCATCAATTTTATGACTGAACCAGGTTATTGTGACCCTCAGATCTGTGTACAAACAAACGAAAAAAACATCAGTACTGACACATGCTACGGCCAAAACAAATTTTACGGCCTTCAAGCAATTAGAGATAACGCGTTGTTTAGAATATTTATAATGCATAAGATTTATAACTAAGAGCTGTGAATTTAATTCGCTATATCCGTAATTCGTTATAACAGCCCATATACTTTAATAGACAGAGCAATCACTACCAAATATGTTCAGGGAAGCAAATATTATGAAATATGAAATTTGACTAAGGTTTTAATAGTGAATTTAATTATATATAAATTCCATGGATTTTCAATTTATCAAATTGTGAGGATTTTGGCAGTTCATTATAAAAGATGTAAATTTCATTATATTTCTTCTACACTGTTTATCCGTAAATTCGTTATATCAAGCGTTTAACCGTAAAATTTTACAAGGATTTGTTTGAATTTTACCAGGTCATATCAGTAATAATACACACATAAATTTTTACTGTATAATAATGTTCAACTTACATGCAATTGATTTTTGAATTGTAGAAACTAAAAATGTTCAAAAGTATAAGAGATGGATAAGATCTGAATTTTTCCAGCAATAAAACATTAACTTTGCCTTGTGAATGTGTGCTGGTATGTCTTAGACACTTACAGGTGATAACCTAATAGAAATCCACTCTAAGTTTTGATCCAATAAACTGATCTGTGCCAGTCATTGAATGAATTAAAGTCAGTCCTTACCAAATGGACTGGTATTGTTCACCCTCATAGTTCTGTTAGTAGGGGCTACTCCAGACACATGAGTACCAAACCTAAAAGACACAATCATATATATATTGCTATATCTTTTTTACTCTGGTTGGTATATCAACTCTTCTCTATGATTAAAGTGTTCAAATTTTTAATATCTACAATTAAACAACAAATCACATAACATAAACAGTAAAACATGTTTTATCCATGCTGGGTCATTGCTTCCATACAATTTAGCAGGTTTAGACAACATTTCACATGAGACCTTTTCAGCAACCGAATTAACTGGGACACGTACAGTTATAATTATACATAAATGTTTTACAATTTCTATATTTAGACAATGATCACTTAATTTACCTGATGATGGGTTTCTGGTCAGGCTGGGCGGCAGTCATTTGGAATTTGAGTGGACAGCCCACAGCGGTCATGCTGATAGGAACGGAAACTGGGGACATATCCCCCACCTGTAACATGGAGAATCTCTACATACTACATAATAATAATCAAGACATGCCCTTCTTTATCCATATTATTCTTTTCCTCATTTTCTTTTAATTTCAATTTTTGAGTTTGTCCATCATTTTCAATTTAAAGACCGAGTACACTAGTAATTCAGTATCAATACAATATTCCACAAGCTTTGATTGATCTCAGTTAAATCTCTGCCACTTCAAAGAATTTTTATTAAGCATTAGGAATTAAATGAACAATTCCAAGTATTTAACCGAAACAGAGGTTTACAGGATTGGATCAGTTTAGTTCTATAAGACTTTTGATAAAGTCCACATAATCTGTTCGACTGTGTGCTTTATCGAAATTTACAAGATGATGTTACTGACCTTGATGGTCATGATATCTGAGTATTTGCCCCACATATCACAGCAAGATGTCACATCAATAATCTCCTCCCCAAAAGGCATCAATGTTCCAGAGGAAGGGTTAGGCACAAAGGCAGCCCCTAAATTCTGACTCAGCATAACACGGTACGAATCTGTGTAAATAAGGAGAAATTGTTATCATATAGTGGAAATTTACATCGCAAATCAAAATAAATTTGATTGGACTTCACTTTTCAAGGAACAGGCCTGGGGGGCAATAAAACTTAGAAGAGCCCACTTTTGATATCAGTCTCACTTTTTCCAAAGAAATTAAAAGTGAAAAAGTGAGGCTGAGATCAAAAGTGAGCTTGTCTACGTTTTATGACCCCCAGCCAGGCCAGATCCATTCATTTAAAAATCTATGAGTGATTTACCACTGGCAGCCCTTGCTGAGGTCTTTGCCATGGGATCAGCCAGGTTGGGGGTTTTCTGTAGGAGGGCCCTCCTCTGACCAGTGGTCATGTTTCTGTCAGCAGGTTCTTGTGGTGGGGTGGGGGGTTTAGCAGAAAAGTATTCTACAGCTACTGTGTATGGGGCCATAATGGCTGACTCGTTTCTGATGTGGAGATACAGCCTTGAAGTAGACCCCAGCTCCACTTCACCAAAGTCCAGGTGTAGATTATCAGAGAAAGTACTGAAAAATGGCAAAAGTGTAATACACAAGTTTATTATATGAAATTTTAAATATCTTAAAGAAGAACACAGAAAAATGGATTATTTGCTTCTTTTAAAACTTTTACTGATTTTGATTAAGAATAAGAATTTACTGTTATGTTGATGGGACAGATTTCAAATCCAAATTAAAATGTAAAAATTCTGATAGAAACCAAATTCTAGATTTGAAACAGGTTGATTTAACTTAAAATTAAAGTTACTTTTAAAAGTAATTTTTTGATGCATGATTTAGTGCTGTATGTAATGATGAATTTCTGTAAAACAGTGTCATACCTTGCCATGTGCCCTTTGTCGGAGACCTTGAAGTTAGCAGCCAGACCTTTGACCTCACAGAACAGTCCCAGGTATAGAGGACTCTCAATCCCTTCTACCATACAAGGGATTCGGAGGTCAGAAAATTCACCCTGTTATCAAAATCAAAAGATCTACATAAAAATTATAATATTTCCAATACCATGCAATTACATTTTTTTAAAAATAAATTTTCCGTGTTTGAATGCTGTATACTCTTACATTTTTGATAGCACCAGCTATGTGCATCAGCAAAATATCATTGTGTAAAGAGGGAAATTTTCACCTCCATTTTATTTTTGCCCCTTTCACCCTAGCCACTGCAGGTTGGCAAATTCAAGACAGGACTAATTCAAAGAAAACAATTAAACAGAACCATGCCTGGGCAAATTTAAAAATGGACAAAACTATTTGCAAAAGTGAAAAGGTGAAAAATAACAAGGGGTATAAATAACTCTGCATGTATGACAGTAACCTCTCTATAGGCCACAAAGCTGACTGTGATGGGTTTTTCTTCCCGGGGGCCAAGCACCCCACTGGTTACATCCAGCTCCACCCCACAGTCTTCGTTGTGGGTCCCCTCCACCTACAATTAATAATAACACAGACATCCTGTAAATTTTCAAATAAAAATTCATTTTAAAAACTGTATTTCAAATTTTGTGGTGGTAAAAAATTTGTGTGTGTCTCCATGCATAGAAGACAATGAAAATTAAGCCCTACAAAAATTAGTGATTTCACAGCAATTGTAGATTATATACCTGTCCAAGAGAGAACTGAGTGGGGAGTAGCGTCTGGTTGATGAGAATTGCCTGGTACTTGACCGGGACTCCTTTATATACCTCATCCATACAAATCTGACAGGAGGAGAAACATACAGCGGGGGTCTGCACCTCCCCAAAGGCTGATACGTTACTGTAAAATAACAGAAACTAACAATAGAAACATACAGAAGGTTAAACATACAGCGGGGATGTGCACGTCAAAAAGGCTGATACGTTACTGAAAAAAACAGTAACAAAATCTAACAATGGTAACCCAAAAGGCTGGTACATTACTGAAGACTGAGGAAAATATAAAATTAAACATAGGTAATCAGAGATTACAGAGCTCACCTCAACGTGTGTTGTCTTTAAGTAAGGCAAATTAAGTCACACAATTAATTAACAAAAAGTGTACATCCAAAAATGCAAAATTTATGCAATTTTGATACTTTGGAATAGACCTATATAAAAACTTAAAACTAGTTCTTCAGCATAAAAATGTAATTAAAATCCAGCATCCGAAGCAAGATTGAGAGTTTTCATCCCTTGATGCATCATTTGTGCAACTGGTTTATATAAGCCTTATAGTTTCTTGGTGATAGTCTTGCACCCATAACTTTTACGAGGTCTATTATCTGGAAAATGTATGTCGAATTCAGCATCTGAAGCAAGTCCATTAGTGTGCATCCTAAGATGTATCATCCATGCAAGTTTGGTCAGCATAGGGCTTAAAGTTACTTGCAAATGAAACCTGTATAAAAAAATTAACCTTTCCACTAATCCAGAAAATGTAGGTCAGATTCAGCATCCAAAGCCAGCCTAGTAGAATGCGCCCTAGATGTACCGTCCATGCAAGTTTGGTCATTATAGGGCTCAAAGTTACTTGGAAATGAATCCTGCACCCTAAACTTTAACCTGTTTACTCGTCCAGAAAATGCAGGTCAGATTCAGCATCCGAAGCAAGTCTGGTAGTATGCATCCTAAGATGTACCATCCAGGCAAGTTGAGTCATTATAGGGTTCATAGTACCTTGGAAATGAAACCTGCACCAAAAATTTTAACCTGTTCACTCAACCGGAAAATGTAGGTCAGATTCAGCATCCGAAGTAGGACTTGTAATATCATCCTAAGATGTACCATCCATGCAAGTTTGGTCATTATATGTCTCATAGTAACTTGGAAATGAAACCTGCACCAAAAACTTTAATCTGTTCACTCAACTGGAAAATGTAGGTCAGATTCAGCATCTGAAGCAAGTCTGGTAGTATGCATCCTAAGATGTACCATCCATGCAAGTTTGGTCATTATAGGGTTCATAGTACCTTGGAAATGAAACCTGCACCAAAAATTTAACCTGTTCACTCAACCGGAAAATGTAGGTCAGATTCAGCATCCGAAGCAGGTCTTGTAATATGCATCCTAAGATGTACCATCCATGCAAGTTTGGTCATTATATGTCTCATAGTAACTTGGAAATGAAACCTGCACCAAAAACTTTAACCTGTTCACTCAACTGGAAAATGTAGGTCAGATTCAGCATCCGAAGCAAGTCTAGTAGAATACATCCAAAGATGTACCGTCCATGCAAGTTTGGTCATCATATGTCTCATAGTAACTTGGAAATGAAACCTGCACCAAAAACTTTAACCTGTTCACTCAACCGGAAAATGTAGGTCAGATTCAGCATCCGAAGCCAGTCTAGTAGAATACATCCAAAGATGTACCGTCCATGCAAGTTTGGTCATTATAGGGCTCAAAGTATCTTCGAAATGAAACCTTCACCAAAAACTTTAACCTGTTCACTCAACTGGAAAATGTAGGTCAGATTCAGCATCTGAAGCAAGTCTGGTAGTATGCATCCTAAGATGTACCATCCATGCAAGTTTGGTCATTATAGGGTTCATAGTACCTTGGAAATGAAACCTGCACCAAAAATTTAACCTGTTCACTCAACCGGAAAATGTAGGTCAGATTCAGCATCCGAAGCAGGTCTTGTAGATCCTAAGATGTACCATCCATGCAAGTTTGGTCATTATATGTCTCATAGTAACTTGGAAATGAAACCTGCACCAAAAACTTTAACCTGTTCACTCAACCGGAAAATGTAGGTCAGATTCAGCATCCGAAGCAAGTCTAGTAGAATACATCCAAAGATGTACCGTCCATGCAAGTTTGGTCATTATATGTCTCATAGTTACTTGGAAATGAAACCTGCACCAAAAACTTTAACCTGTTCACTCAACCGGAAAATGTAGGTCAGATTCAGCATCCGAAGCCAGTCTAGTAGAATACATCCAAAGATGTACCGTCCATGCAAGTTTGGTCATTATAGGGCTCAAAGTATCTTCGAAATGAAACCTTCACCAAAAACTTTAACCTGTTCACTCAACCGGAAAATGTAGGTCAGATACAGCATCCGAATGTGCATCCTAAGATGTATCATCCATGTAAGTTTGGTCAACATAGGGCTTATAGTTACAAAAGGAGACCTACACCAAAAACTGCAAAAAATGTTAACCTGCACCAAAAACATTAACCTGGTCATTCCTTTGCTGAAATTGCAGCATCTGAAACTTTGACTGGTACAATGAAACACACTAGAAACATCTTCCATGCATGTCTAATCAATATAGGACATAGAAGTACTTAAAAAGAAAACTGCTCCAAAAAACTTAACCTTAACCCGGGACGCCGACGCCGACGCCGAGGGTATCACATAAGCTCCCCCCAACTTCGTTGAGGTGAGCTAAAAATGCATGGTTACCCCAAAGGCTGCTATGTTACTGATGAGGGAAACCAAAAACTAACAATCATTATGGTAAAGCATTGATTTGTACAGTAAACAGACTACTAAAGAGATGAGATCAACTTAACAAGTAGTTTTTGTCTGTTTGTTGTTTAATGTCCCTCTCGAGTATTTTTCACTCATATCAAGACGCCACCACTTACTGGTGGAGGGCTAAAAATTTCGAACTTTACTTGACATTCAGGGCCATTGGGCAGTGAGGGATCTTTTTCATGGCAACAAAATTGTAGATAGATCATCAAACTTACATTTTATTTCCATCTTCCACCTGCACTTCAAAGATGGCTTGGAGTGTATGAACAGAGGAAGGTTTGAATTCTATGCTGATCTTCTTTTGTTCCAGAGGCTTCAACTCACCACCAGAGGGCATGAATTTAAATTCACACTCAGCCTGTAGGAAGAAACATGAAGATGTATTATTGAAACATTAAAACATAATTAACACCTAGATCTTAAAGTATATGGTATAGAAATAGACTGAGGTACTTGCAAATAATATTCCCACTGACATATTTTCAGGTCAGAATGTTTGTTATGGTCCAAAAATATGATCCAGAAAAACAATTTACATTTATGACCTGGACAGGGTTGTCAAACAACAGTCAATGTGATTGTTGGACATTTAGAGCCAATATTTTCCATCATGTGTTAAATATTTACCATTGCGTCCTCGGAGCTGTAATTATCGGACACGTCCTGTATGCTCCAGACAGTTACGACCTGTGCTAGGTTTGTCAGAGTAATCTCCCTTGTAACAGATTCTCCAAGTCGCACCAAACCAAAGTCCACATCGGGTTCCTCTACAGAGATCTCAGGACCCTGTCAACAAAATCAATCAATCAATCAATCAATAAAAGCCCAGAAATTCAAAGGAGAAGTTTTTTAGACACAATAATGTAAATCAACTATTATTTGCGTCATCTTATATTCATGATTCATCAGTTTGAAATCAATCCACAATTATTATTTTTTGCAAGGGAATAAGTTGGTTTAAAGTATTTTATAATTGAAAGAAAATTTAAATGTTTAAACTATATTGTTCAATTTTTATTTCATATTTATTCACTTTGTAGCATATATATCTTAATAATGCTTTTAAAGAGCCTGTCATGTAGAATCTTTAAATATTCCATTGGTAATATATTGGCAGAAATCAAAAGTTAAAATTCAAACAGAAAAATAGTAATTAAGATATATATGAATAATTAAACAAGACCCAAACTAAAGGGTGCAGAAATTGGACTTAATATTCCATCTGTGTCCCCATTCAATGTACATATAGTGCAAACAGTGGAAAGAGAAACAAATGATTTTCCCACATAAGGCTGTATTCAATGAAACAAACTTGTATAGCATAATTTAAACCATAAACTTTCACCTGGGTCAAAATCTTACCAAAAATGTTACAAGCTGAAGACAATTAAATTAGACATAATCTTTAAATTTTCTGCCATTTTTTTAATTAACAAGCTAACTGATACCAAATGCATCAACAAAATTTAAGTACATAAAAACAGCGGTTACCATAAAAGTTACTCCATCCTATTCTAAATATTTATTGCTTTATATGCATAAACACAAAGAGGTTGATATAAAACCTATAATACTGACCTTGAACTCTGCCTCCACATGGAGATGAAGTGGTTCATCCAGATTCATGACGTAGCAGTACACTGTCTGGTCCACTTTGCCTGGTTCCGAGCCCGTGATGCTTAACTCCAGATCCATTGCCATACCTGGGTCTAAAATTAAACAAATTATGTTTATAATCCAGGACATGCAACAGGCCTTCCCAAGTAATTTTATTGTTTTGTAAAAGAGTCTGGCCAACTTTTTTTGAACCAGCTTTTACTGTATTCATATCTCACAACAAAATAAAATTTGGAAACTGAAGTTGAAGCAAAAGTTAATAATTTTGAATGAGACACACCTTCCTCATCACAATCATAAAATTAGTTTGTTTGCTTAATTCCTAAGTATAGAGGAGAAGATTTTTCAAAGAATAATGCATTTTTATACTATCTAGAGTTTCACCCTTACATAAGAATACCTCACCAAAGGGCCATGAATTACACAATTTTGGCAAGAGGTGCATGATAGACAATGCTATACGAATGACAAAGACCTTTCATTTTTACCCTTCCATAATCCTGGTTATTCTGATACAATTTGGTTAAATTTAATCTCATTCATTAAATAAATCTGATGCTTTATCAAACTAAGAGCTCTTACCAAGTTCTCCAAATGGTGGTTCCACTTCAATGATTGTCTTCTCATGATGTGGCTGCCACTGAAATGTTACAGTGGATCTGCTGTGGTTAGCCATCTGTAAAAAAACAAACACAAAGAACTGGATTTAACCCTGATTAAACTGATCAGAATTGCTATGAACAGGGAAAAACTAGGGAAAGAAATCATCACAGTGGTACATTCTTATTTTAAACATGAACCATACTAGGGCTAATTTCTTGAAAGAGGAATTTGCACTAGGTCTAATATTTAAAAAGAAAATCCACTTTAGCAAATTCATTTACTACGATAATTCTGTGACTAATATATTATTGATATTGATATTAATGGAGATTATAGTCTCATTACAATGATACCAACTGTGATTAGTTTCTTTACAGTACTGCAGTACTTACAGTGACCATTTTCTTTATAGTGGTGCCTACAAGGTTCTGGCCCGGGGCATACACAGCGTAGGGATGAAGTACCACATTCAGTGGAACACTTTTACCCTTGACCTCTATCTCCAGAGCTGTCACATCTTTAAACTGTTTCACTATTGAGATAAAAATACAAAGACCTTGTATTAAATAATGTTTCTCAAAATAAGTGGGACATAGTTTCCTGAGTAAAAGAGAAGATATAACTTACAGTCTGAATTCATGAACAGATACATGTTGTATACATTGTACATGTAACTTACAGACTGAGTTCATGAACAACTCTAGCTAGTGAACACCAGATATAATTTACAGTCTGAGTTCATGAACAGATATAACTTACAGTCTGAGTTCACGAACAACTTATTAAGTGAACACCAGATATAATTTACAGTCTGAGTTCATGAAAAACTCTAACTAGGGAACACTAAATATAACTTACAGTATGAGTTAATAAACATCTTTGACTTTTGAACACCAAATATAACTTAAAGTCTGAGTTCATGAACAACTCCAACTAGGGAACACAAGATATAACTTACAGTGTGTTCATGAACAACTTTAACTAGAGAACACCAGATATACTTTACAGTGTGAGTTCATGATCAACTCTAACTTGTGAACACAAGATATAACTTATAATCTGAGTTCATAAACAACTCTTACAAGTGAACACCAGATATAACTCACAAACTGAGTTCATGAACAGATATAACTCACAGTCCGAGTTCATGAATAGATATAACTTACAGTTTGAGTTCCTGACTTACAGTCTGAGTTCCTGACTTACAGTCTGAGTTCATGAACAGATATAACTTACAGTCTGAGTTCATGAACAGATTTAACTTACAGTCTGAGTTCATGAACATCTCTGACATGGTCTCCTCCTCATCCTCGGTGTCCTCACCACTTGAACTCGTCTGCTCCTCAGATGGCTTCTGACTTTTGGCAGACTGAGCTGAACCATTCCCACTGTAGGGTGGCACTTGTTGTAGTAGAAGATGTAGCACACTGTGAAATAGATCTACCTGTAAAAAACAAATATGGAATCATTTGAAGAATGTAATTATGCTTCTTATTATATTCACTGAAAATATTTGCAAATTGTTTATATTCTAAGATCATTTAATTTGTTCTTTTATTGATTCTTTCATTCTCAAAATCAAATCTTTAAATTATAAATCAATACATAATTCCTGATTAAAGGAGTGAGCAGAAGATTATATAAATACTACATGAGGAATTGTCAAAACCCTTTTTGATACTACTTATGCATAAAAACAAGGCAGACATGGTGTGAAAAATAAAGCACCATCATTTTGGTGCAAGGACATTTCTTTTTTCTGGTGGTATTTTTTAGAAGGACTGAAGACCCACCACTGGAGGAGCAAATGTGATCTTGAATTCCATGTCCTTGGCTGGGGGGAGCATTCCACTGGGAGGATGAACACTGAACACCGAGTCCACGTCAGGCACGCGGTCAGGCTTCCTGTCCAGCTCATCAGTGTCTGTCATGTCCGGTTTGTAAATCACCCACTGGAAAGGCAGCTCCACATCTCTGTCATGAAAGAGAGGAATTAAGGTTCAGTAAAAATTAATTAAGAAATTTAATATGCTGCAAATACTGTCAAATCCTATTATTTTGAACTCCATGGGGCCTCAAAAATAATATCTCATATTTAAGTATTTTTAAAAGCAAAGGAAAAAATACCTGAAAAATAAGTGGTTGGGTCTGACTTTCATTAATCACTTCAACATAACCATGGCATTTTAGACATTAATATACATGTTAGTGTTTGAGATACAGAAGTGCAACTGTTACAGTTAATATATTTATATTTGTTAAAAACACACAACTCACGTCTTATTTTTAACCACAATACTTCTGTCTGTGTAGGTAAAAGGGTTTAGTTCATCGAATCGGATCAGATTCTCAGCTGACACATCAGAGAGTTCACCCGGCAATACGGCAGACAATCCACGCTCCACAGATAGCAACTCTACCTCGGCTTTCTGGGCTTCACCTAAATACAAAAAAAATATTGTGTATTTTCCATGAATAAATCAATGCTTGCTGAAAAAAAGTCAGTTCTTATTTATTTCAATCTTTGTACTTTATTTCCTTCAAATTAATGCATTAGATTGTCACAGACAATAGTATCTACCTTTCAGTGTGAAGTGCTTGACATGGCAGTTGTCACAGACAATAGTAATCTCCTGACTGTAACTGCGGACAGAATGAGGGGCGAAGACTATCTCCAGCATTCCTGTATCCCCCTTCATCAACTCCAGCATGGAGGGGCGCACATCAAACGGGGGGATCTTCACATTACCATTGGTCACCACACTCTGAAATAAGAAATCCTCGTGGCATTGTAAAAATTTATTGCAACATACATTTCAAATATTGATTACAGTGAAACCTGTATAATCTGAATGTTGTGTATTCTGAAATCTTGGCTATTATGATGTAAACTTCAAGTGCCTTTATAAAGTAAATTTAAAATGTTAATTTTATGGTTTAAAATTTTGTCTAATCTTTCATTTATAAGCCAATTTATAAAGAGGAACCAGTGGTATTCTGCTTGAGCAAATTTCATGATTAATAATCAGTTTTTAATCACAGTCATTAGCATGAAAGAGATACAACATTGCCTGGAAAATTGGATTATAATTAATTATTTATGTAACTTATAGAGTTACCTTGAAGTTGGTGGCTGGCCAGGAGGAGCGGGGGATGACACAGAAGCGTCCACTTCCTCCCTCGTTCTTTACAATAAACTGACCGATGTGGACACCTCCCACCAGACAGTGGCCAACATCCAGAACCTTGGGTACTATCAGTAGACAAAGCAAAGTTAATGAAAAATTATAGCCAAAAAAGCACCATAAAAATGCTAATACTGAAATCTAATGGGGTTTTTTTGGCATGTAGAATTTTGGGCATAAAAATTGATTTTTCAACAAGATAACAGAGATTTGATTTGAGAACTATCTGAATATGCTTTAAATGAATTTGATTTAAATAAAACATTTAACAATGTCCTTGGTTTAGCAGAAGCTGCTCTCTGCAAAAGTTGCTTAACAGAATACACAGCCAAATGCTAATAGTAGTTACTTGCAGTGTTTATCTATTTTACAGTATAAAGAAGTTTCATCGCAAATCTATAATTACATGATATGAGGGGAGGCTGTCTCCAGCCCTACTTACATGATATAAGGGGAGGTTGTCGTCGGCCCTGTAGGGGAACAATAATGGGCTCTGAGGACTGCGTCTGGATCCTTATCTCATCATCGTAGTCAATCAAGGAGTCCGGGGCAAACCTGATACCGTAGTGACAGCTCATCCCCGGGGCCACTAACCCATGCTCCCCTGGGAACTGACCTGTAAATTCATGGCAGAAACTGTAAAACGTAGGTCTAACAAGGGAAACTGAATTTTAATCAAATCAATGTGTATGTTACTATGATGAATTCATATCTATATACAGTTATAATTATATTTCTGAATTTTCTTTTTGTGATATCACTTATTTTTTCAGGGGTTTTAAGTTGTATTGTTTTCATGATATGAAGAGACCAAAAAAATTCATGTCCTCAACAAAATATAAAATTTCAAATAAAAATTACAACTAAGCACTTCAACGTTTCTTCCTCAATCAACAAAAATGTGTGATTTTACAGTATTTTTTCCTTTTATCAGAGATAAATTGACTTCAAGATGATTCATGTCAAATTAACCTACCGAGTCCAATATTAAAGTATGATGAAGAGGGGGGCAAAGCACGACATTGACGCAGACAAGCCGACACATTTTTCAACTCTAAGGTGATCTGAAAAAAGGGGAATAACTCTTAAAAGCATTTAATAACATTATTAAACATCAAATTCTGAAATAAAAAGGCACAATTACAAATCAATAAATAAAGAAATATGTAATTTAAAATTCATCTTTAAATTAGAAATATCTTTATGAATATTTACAGAACTGAGTGTCCTACCTCATAAACCTGTCCTACTTTGTAATCTGTAAATCTGACAATGGGTGGAGAGACAAGAAACACCACTGAAGGCTCAGGTACCCTGATATACATTTTAATATAATGCACTCAAACATAGCATCTTCAGATATTTAGCAAGTTATTGGAGATCTTCACATTTAAATAAAAAAAATTAGTAGTTATTATATTGCCACTGAATTAAATAAGAGACATTAACATTATATTATTTTATACAAAAAACATGTACTTATGTTCAAGCAAAACCAGGAAATCATCAAATAACATACACACTGATGGTCTCTTTCCGCTGAATACCGATTTCTTTTGGTTTTGGTTTACTGTCCTTAATCAGAGTTCTGCCACCAGGGGGAGCTGACGGGGGCACATGGCGGGGATTACGCTGGAAGTTTATCTTGGCTTGTAAGTTGGCCAGGTCGTTTCTGTCCATTTCTCTTTTCTCCTCACTCAGGTGAAGCTTCCAGGCAGCCACAGGTTTATCCAGCTGTTGAGACAAACAATTAAGTCCATGCCATGTTAAATACTAAAAACTCTCAAACTGCATACACATGTTATAGTATGTAGCATTTATTTTAAAAGTCTGTTTAATTCAGCTCTTTTTTTATAGACAATTCCAAACTGAAAAAATGTATTTTAAATCTGATTACCGTTTTAATGAGAGTTATGAAACTAACAGTGCTACTGTTAAATAAAAGTAACTTTTTTTAAATCAAAAAGGTTAGAAATACTTCCTGCAAATAGATTTTACTCTAACTTAATTTTTTTTATCTTTGTGTGAAAATTTGGTGATCTATCAAGACGGAATTTATGAACTTACAGATTCCACAACAGGAGAGGGTGTCTCCTCATTTTGTATCCCTGTGTTTTCAGCCTCGTACAGAGCTAGGTCCGTGCTCTGCCTGAGGAAGTCCGGGAGAAATAGCGGTGTATCCCCACGCCTCTCCAGTGTACCCATATCCTTCCTCTGCTGGGAGGACACAGTGTCCCGGGCATAACTGGGCACCAAGGGCTCTGTAATATATAATATAAAGTTATAACTCTCTTAAATTTCATTTTAGTCTGAAAGGAAAGTGAAGTGTGATTGCATTTACAGTTACTGTAGTTCTTTATGTAAGAGGGTACACACTGAACCAGCTGTGACATTTAGATTGATCAGAAAAAAATCTAACAGATACATGTTTCAGGGTTGCCTCTTAGAACTGAAATAGCAGGGGAAATAGAAAAAAGTAGAACATGGTTTCAGGAACCTCCCCTAGCAGAGTGTTGAGGGGAGGATACCAGAATACCGGAGAGGGGGGGAGAGGGGGAATTGTCATTAATGGGAAAATTCTTCATCCCCTGAGTCTTAGGGACAACCCTGTGTTTATACCTGTTGGAGGGGGCACACTGGCTGGGTCCTCTGTTGAATAGTCCTCTGGGGTCAGCAATTTATGCTTCTTTAGGAGTCCAGCATCAATGCATGAACTGAAGTAGGACTTTACTGAAATACATCATATTGTTATTGTTGCTGTCTCAGTAGACTATGTTAACCATATATTTTTGACAAACATGTTTCTATCTTTTAGCCTCCTTAGTTGTTGTACATTTTAAATAATAAAGAAGAATATTTTACCTTTCAAGATTCTGTCTTGTAATCATATTTACATCAATCATTAAGAAAACACATTAATGTACCTGATACAAAATAATAATTTAAAAACTGATATATATGAGCACCACTTGATTACATTCCATACATGTACCATTGTATAAACATTATTTTGAATTAAAGTGAGTTTATAAATTAAATAATCATGATAAAAACATTCAAACAATATACCAGGTGGGAGACCCAGCTCGCTATAATTATCACAGCTTTTGGACACTCGGTTGAGCTCTCTCTCATCAGCTGACATAGCTCGAGCCTGAGCCTGCATGATGTGCCTCTCCAGCTGGGCAGCTTCTTCTAATCTCTTCTGTCGTTCATTAAAAACCTGAGATAATAAATTAAACAATATCATTAATAAGAACATCAAATAAAGAATCATTTCTTTGAGCCTGTTAAAAGGACTAACAAATGGCTTTTTAAAAAATGTGCATTCTTCTTGTTTATCTAATATTTGTTTCATTTGAATCAACAGCATTGATATGGAATAATAAATAAATTATAAAAGATAATAAACTAATTTACATTAATTACCTTCTGTAACTGTTCAACATATCTTTCGTGATATTCATCATCTCCGCCTTTTGAGACACTTAGATTTTTAACAGTATCAGGACCAATAGTGTCCCTTGTGTAGAGCTGTCGAAAAGTTTTGGCCAAAATATGTCGTACATCTTGGGATTTTCCTGTGGAGGGACGCTGTAGAAACATTGGAGGCTCCTCGCCCACCGCCATAGCTGCTGGGGGCTTCATTATCAAAGAGTGAATTTGACTCCCTTTTTATCTCTGTGTACACTGGAAGTCAATGCAAATTTAGAGAATGATCATTTCTAGGGATGTGCGATTTTATCAGTTTACCCGTATATCACGATTTTTTGTTGCGTGATACGTATCGTGATACGGAGACCTAAATACCGGTCTTTAGGTACATATTACAGAGTCCAGGAATTATTCATTTATTTGTTCAATCTTTCAAATTACAATTACAGAAAGTATAAAAAATGTTGTAAAAAGTGAAAAGAACGGCATCTTACCATCCAAATAATTGATTTTATATACATAAAAATTTCAAGAAAGTAAAATTTTGTTTTTCTAGCATATATTTTTTAGAAAAATAATGACTTTTCATATAAAATCAATGTAAAAACTGTTTTTAAAATATCATGATATAATTGCGATATATTGTGGGAAAAAATCGTGATATATTGCGATATGAAATTCTTGGTGATGCCCATCCCTAATCATTTCATATACTGTACAAATTTATACATTGTGTACAATACTCTGTAATCCGAGATTCCTCTGACTTAAACCCACACTTTTATAAATGCATGGGGGGGGGGGGGGTTAAAGTCAGAGGCATCTCGGATTAATTACTCTGTGCATGGATAACAGCAGCTTGTATGATTATTGTATATTTGAATTAACTTAACTGCTGCATAGTCAGAACAAAATGTTGCGTGATTATTTTTTTGAAGCATTCATTCGGTTAATCTGTTAACATTTGAATATTTGAACGACAGGTACTTGCCCTGTACAAATTCACTGTCATTTAAATATATTTTAGTCATGTCTGTGAAATTGTCTGTGAAATTATCTTTTGTCCTACAAGTTTATTAAATAAAGTGGATTTTGATACAACCTTTGTATGTCTATTAAATTGTTTAGAAATAGCTTTTTATTCTTATTCACTTTCGTCATATTAATCATATTTACCTTTTCCAACTCCAAGTTTTGTTGCTAACGGGAATGTTTATACCTCCTGTAACAAAAGAGTTCCTCTCCAAGATGAAGACTGACTTAACTTAACATTGAGGCGTAGTTCTATTTCAATATTTATAATGAAATATTTAAAGGTAAAAGTAAAAAGTGCGTATTCATAAAATAATTTGCTATAAAATAAACTTATTATACTTGCAAATTTTACTCTAATAATAAACACTAGTGTAAACATGCATTGTAAAGGGAGACCAATCTATTGTTTACATAGCATAACTTATCTATAATAATCAATATCCTCGTTTTATTTTGTGGAATTTTGCTGGAAAGGGTCTGAAAAAACTAAATACTAGTAAGAGATAGCTTGTAGCATCATGAATAATGAATCAGTAAGCATAAAAGATAATAATTATGATAATGTCAGATTATTGAAAATGAAAATGTCAATAATTATAACAAGAAATCATACAAATATTCTGTATGTTATATGTTTAAAGAATGGATTTCATATTTTTAAGTTTTCTTATTCAATATCATAAAGAAGGAATTCGAATGAAGCAATAGTTGCATGGCCAGTGGACAACCTTATCTTCCAGATTTTGCAAATTTAACTTTTAATCATATTGCTTTATATGAACATATCCCTTCAGGTCTTTAAAAAATTGTTTGGTCTCTCTCTCCAGACAAATGTCAGACATTTCAGCCCAATGACACCTCCCCAATTGACAATTAGCCAAATAAAGCGATCCCAATGAAACCTCTGTTCAGAAAGTTCGACCAAAGATTTAAGACATGCAGCTAGGTCGGCCCAATAAGACACCTCGACATGTCAAGCAAAATTTCCTTAAGTAGAAAATATCTTATATAATCCCAAATTGCAACTAAAATAAAGTATTGATTGAAAAAAATACAGGAATAAACAATCAAGATTTTTTTTATTATAAATTATAGTCTTTCTTTTTTAACATGTTTATGCCATTCATGTTTGTCGTAACATTATATAATCATAAAGCATTGGTTGTCTATGACTTCATAATTAATATATGATCATTGTATGATACACAAGAAAAATGACACTGTTTTTAGTATAGTTCAGTATAGTAATTTTTCTTTTAAATTTCTTTCAGATAATTCCTGAAAAGAAGAGTCTAGATGAATGGAGGAGCCAGCACTATTACATTTGTAATCTATGAATAAAAGCATTAAAGTTCAAGGTCACCATGGAGATCGCAGATCTACCAGAAGAGATGATGCTTCTGATTTTCTCATACATACCTCTCTACAATCTGTTCTTTTCCGTTCAGAAGACTTGTAGAGCTTGGAGAAACCTCTGTTTCCATCACAGTCTGTGGACAACGGTCCATTATAGCAAGGAAATCGACAACAAGCTATCCAAGGAAGAACTGCATTTTATTCTGAAGTGTGTTTCTAGAGGACTTCAGCATCTGGTTTTTGAGAAACCATTTCAAGTCAAAGAAATGGACTTTAACTTCCATAAAATACTCCAATGTATTCTACATGAAGATGTGGATATGACAAATATTTCAACACTAAAAATTCCTTCTATTCCAAAACTGTATTTAGAACCATTGGTAGAAAAGTGCTGTAATTTGTCCTCTGTTGAAGTCAGCTATTATTATGCTTACTATAACAATGGCGACTTCTTTGAAAATATGAAGAAACTCCCACATCTAAAAGTATTTAAAATAACAGAAAGTTCCAAGTCAGCAGAAGCAATCATAGAACCAGCTCAGCACCTTCAGGCCACATTCAATGCATTCTTGACCGATATGTTTTGTACTCTGACGACTTTAGAAACTGTTCATATTGCCAGTGTGAACAAACTAATGGACTCGACACTGCAAGCCCTTCTCAGAAACTGTAGAAATCTAAAAGAACTGGCTCTCTATGGGTGTGACAGTATATCTAATGCTGGTTTTAAGGCTTTATCAGAGAAATCCGGGATAACTTCTCTTCACCTGAATTCTACAAGTGTTACAGATAAAGGCATGAAACACATCTGCAGATGTTGTCCTAATCTTCGCAATGTGTCATTTGCAGGTTGTATGTATGTCACAGATGTGTCCATCAAACACTTATGTACGCATTGTCCAAACCTTGAATCTCTGTGCGTCTCAGATCCCGAGATTTTTTATCATAAGTCTAACATTACTGATGGGGGACTGGACTTTCTGTCACAATACACAGGGGCCCTGAAATCTCTAACGATGGGCAACAGTGCTCAAATTTCAGACTTGGGCTTAGACCAGCTAGCTAGAAGCTGTAGTAAACTCACGCATCTAGACGTGTCTGGTTGTCTGTCTGTCACTGATAGCACACTTCAAGTCTTAGCACAGCACTGTGCTTTTCTTCAAACTGTGAATTTCAGTGAATGCGTTCATTTGACTGGGAAAGGCATTAATCCACTTGTCGTGTCTTGCAGATGGTTAGAAACCCTAAATGTGGCTAATTGTCCTTTTGTGGAAAATCTCAATTTTGAAGCTTTTGACCAAATGGAATCTCCATATGGCAGGTAATGATTATGCATGGATTTTTTTTTTATCAATTAATGTATCAAATATCCAGTTTTTACCAGTTAAATAAAAATATATCTGACTGAAAACTCTGAGATTAAGCAAATTAAAAATAGAGAAGGCCATGCTTTAAAAAAACATTTTAAATTTAAGTTTATTTAATTTCTTTAGGATCAGGACTTTCCTAAAAATCTTATAACTTTAAATAGGTGGGATTTTTTTAATATAAAAATTTCATTTTTAAAAAAACATTTTCTTTAAATTTTTAAAATCATTTTCATTTGTCTAATTTGATGTTTTGTTTATGCATTTCAAAAGAAATATTTCCAATTGATAAACTAGGTCAAAAAAAAATTTTTAAACTATAGTTAACGATGACCATTTTTCATCTGTAAAACTATATTTATCAGTTGTGAAACATAGGTTATCGCGTTAACTATGGTTTACAGATGTAAAATTTTTTAAAAGAATTTTTACAGATAAACTATAGATTAAAATCAATTTGCCAAATGATGATTAAATATTTGTGAATTTGGCGGCTAAACATAGTTTCACAATTGATAAACTAGGTTTATCGGTAAACTATAGTTTACAAACTGTCACATTTGTAAAGTCTATTTTCTTCAAATACTTGACTTTCCTTACAAGTATGTTACAAGTTATAACTCTGAAAATACAAAGAGGAGTTGTAAACCATAGTTTACAAATTGGACATTAATTTATTTTTGCAATCGCAAATGATTATTTGCTAAGTATAGTTTTCTTGTGAAACATTTTCCATTATTTTTACAAATTATTATTAGGTTAATTAAAAACCAATTTCATTTGTCTAATTTGTTGTTTTTTTGGCATGCCATATTTGTTTGTTTGTAGGTATTTCACAGAGCGTGACATATTGTTAACATCTTCTGGTACATCCGAAGCAGTTGAAGTTCAAGATGACAAAAATGATTTACAGAATTCTGATGAAATACCACAAAGTGTTGAAATTTTACCAAATCCAAAAAACCAAGCCAGGTTAAACTTTTTAAATGCCCTGTCTTCATCAGTTCCTGAACCAAAAATACATTCAGAGTTACGATTCTTGAATATTGGATTATGCTCCAAGGTAACCAATCAATGCCTTCGTCAGATCGCCACCTACTGCCCCGACCTGCGGAGTCTAGATATAAATGGCTGCTTCAACACGTCAGACCAGGGAATATCCTACATCGTCAAAGGCTGCCAAAGCCTCGAACTCCTGAACCTCTCTAGTGGTTCCATGATTCAGAAAATGTCTCAGACCGACCAGTCCCTGGAATTAATAGCTACGCATTGCAAGAGTCTTAGAAGACTCCACGTAGAAAAAAATCCCATGATGTCCCTGGAGGGCTACAAGAATCTCTTTAATAATTGCCCCCTCCCCTTCACCGTATCCCTGACTACAAAATCTCCGGATATCCTGAGGAGTGATCTATTGTCAGTGGACAGTTCAAATAAGTCTAAAAGAGTCAATGTGTTCAGTAAGGGCTGTTTTAAAGGCAATCTTCATCAGTTAGATGTCCTTCTCTACAACTCCGATGGGAATATCCTAGAGTGATAATGCATGAACATTTGTCATTGTTTGTGTATACCTATATCGACTAAAATCTCTTGTTAATCTTGTTGTTTTATTAGTTTTTAATTAATAGTTAATTCACTTGTACAACTGTTTTTGTAATAAACTGTTCTGTTAAGTTTTTAAACAGTCAAATTTTCTTGTATTCTTGTTTTTTGTTTCTGAATAAAAATGTTCTGCTTTCAATCTCTCTTATCATGGAGCCCATTTAGTGCCTATTGAAATTCAAACATATTGTTGAAGGACCATTTCTCCAAAGAATACATGGATACTTGTATGTCCATGCATGTGAAACTCCAGTTATTTTAATTTATCAGCTTCAGCATACTTTTGTATAGAATCAGGGTGATTTTTCACAAGTTTTGTAAATGGCTGGTCACATATATCTTTAAAAAAAATTCTTCTTACTAAGATATAATAGTTCCATTTTATATCAAAGAAAAAGTTGTCCATGCTAAATATCAAGTTTTTAGTTTGCCAGGAATGGTTGTACTTATACTTATAAGTCCAGGAAAGTCAAAACTTTTTTTACAGCACTAAATACTTTTTTTTAAGTACATGTAGCAGTTAATGCCAAAGGAGTGAATTAAGACAGAAGATTGAAAGAGCAGCTAATGAACTCAGCAAGGTAACTTTATTTGTAAGGATTTTATATTATGAATCTACAAAAATGTAGCACATACGGTCCCCCTGTATTAAGGGTCTTTTAAAAATGATTTCTTTTAGATCATCATTTTTAACTCCAGCAATGAGTGTTCCAGCATGACTAGAATTGACAGAAGAGAAAAGCAGAAACGCATTATAATAAGATTTTGTCTTAGATGCTAGCAATTCTTCAGAATCATATATCAGTTTTGAATATTTTTAATATCCCACAGAACCAAAATGAATTTGATCTACAATATTTATACTGGATTCGGAAACTCATTAAGAATCCTTACAATCAAAGATACTTAGCGGGTTCTAGTAAACGATCAACCAAGCCTCTTTCTTTACTCCCCACTAAGATATCAACAGTAGTGAAGGAGAAACTTCCAGAGTACTGTGCAACAATATATTCAAGAAGTGGTGTTAATTAGATGTGGATACTTAAAAATAATAAGGAACTTTTGGACAATTTGAAATCACAAGATTTCCCCAAAATCAAATGCTTGAAAACTTATGACTTTTCAATTACTAGTAACTTTATACACTTCATTCACCATGATAAATTAAAGTCAAGGGTTTTTTTTTATATCATTGATAGCTGCTTTTTCAATAAAAACGGAACTCGTAAATTTACTTACCTTGTCTTTGGTCATTTGCAAAATTATTTTGTGAAAAACATTCTGATTCTACACACAAGTACTCTGAAGCTAACATCAAAAAATGCTTGAGTTTCTGATTGACAATATCTACAGTGTATGTGGTTTTTGGAGACCACAAACAGACAGACAGACAGAGAGACAGACATACTGACGGGTCTTCCAACAATCTATTGGAATTCCCATGGGTACCAATTGCGTGCCGTTATTAGCAGACCTATTTCTGTATTCATATGAAGCAGAATTTGTGCAAAATCTTATGCGTGAAAAGAAGAAAACACTTGCTGTGGCCATCATCTCGACATTTAGTTATATCGACGACTATTGTCGATCAACAATGGTAATTTCCATTCTTATGTCGATACGATATATCCTGGTGAGCTTGAGATAAAAAATTCCACAGAGTCTGAAACTTCTGTTTCATATTTGGATATTTTACCTGAAAAAGAAGTTAATGGTAATCTACCAACCAAGCTCTATGATAAACGTGTTGACTTTAACTTTTCTATCGTCAACTTCGCTTACTTATGCAGCAATATACCTTCATCTCCTGCATATGGAGTTTATATATCTAAGTTAACACTACTCCTGACACGAAGTAAATGCTTTTTAGCTCACCCGAGCTAAACGTAAAAAATTAATAAAGCATCCCTTTTTCGTATATTAAGTAAGTGTAAAAAGTCGGGAAAATGTTCAAGTACGAAGAAAATGTGTCAGGCGTTTGTTGACTGTCTTTGTTGAGTTCATTTATAATGAACTGAAACATGAATCAAAATAATTTTATAAACTTGCAAATTTTCACCGACATATCGAACAGTACACCGGGAGGGGGTCTTCTTTTGTTGTAGAAGTTTCTGATGACCTTCGGGCTGCATCGCTTAGCTGGAGACTTGATTTAAAAATCACCAGAAATCAGTCCAGTAATGAAAAAAATTACTGAAATATATGAAAGTGGTCCAAAACTATCCACCCCCATACTAGGGGGAGAATGACACTGTACTGAAATAGGCACTAAGGATGCTTCCATATTTCGGTGACTTATGGTTTTATTAGATTTTTTTTCTTATTAGATTATATTATATTTCTATGCAAAAGTTTAATCTCTTATTTTGGCCTATAGCCCTTTCACCGGGGTCAGTGTTAATTTTTATGTTTAGCTTAGGCAGAGACATATTATATGTCTCTGGCTTAGGTGAGCAAAATGCTTTTATTTCATGTCAGGAATAGTGTTAACAAAAAAAAAAAAAATGGAAAAGTCATAAATATTGCGTAGAAACTATCGAAACATAACGAATTAATTTTTTGATGGCTTTAAATTTTTGAATTGTATCTTTTCATCGTCTGACTTATCAAGTTTGCAATGTAGAGACAATTTTATTTAAAAAAAACTTCATTCTAACATTCGGAATAATTCTACAGATTAAATGTACATATATTTCTTTTTGAATTGTAACTTTCCATTGTCTGTCTTTTATTTATTTGGAACAGTTGGAAATCCCTTTATTTTTAAATTGGCACAAAAATTCTAACAGCTAGAATATTTCATAGGATTTATAAGATTATTTGCCAGGGGACATCATTATGCGTAGTACTGGAGTCCGTGCGGTTTCTGAGAGACGGGTGTAAAAGCGACGGTCTTCTTCTCTTCTTCCTCCTCTTCTTCCATGAAGCGGTAATCGTCTTTATTTCTGATGCAGCAGAACCAGACCATACAAATCAACGTCATCAGTACGGCGAACGTGGCGAAGCCGATACACAGACCGATGACCCCTAACCTGGCTGGAGGCACCGATTCGTCAAACGTCTGAAGAAAATCATTTGAATATCGATCAAACATGAAAGGAAAATTAAATTATAAAATAAAGACTATATACGCATCTTTTACAAAAAAATGGAATCTCATGTATATACCTTTCCATTAGCTCCGATCGCTTTTCCATCAGCGCTATACTCCACAAACCACCACGGTTTGGTGGTGGTCACTACCTGAGTTGTGGTGGTAGGAGCTGGTGTAGTGGTGGTAGTGGTTGTGGTGGTAGGAGCTGGTGTAGTGGTGGTAGTGGTTGTGGTGGTGGTGGTGGTGGTGGTGGTTGAAGGAACTGGTGTCGTGGTCGTAGTGGTTGTAGTGGTGGTGGTGGTGGTAGTGACAGGTGTAAAAGAGGCTATAAAATGTTTTTTTTAAACATTAGCACTGCTTCTTAAGATGCTCTGAGGCAAGTTTGGTTTAAATAATAGTGTAAGTTCGAGAATGTGAAAAGTTTATCCATTTTAACATCTTTCCATTTGAACGCAAAAAAAAACAAGTATTACATACTAATTCTAAAATTTCCTCGGATATAAAAATATCCAACTTTATAGACATGTGAAATATCTTACATATTCGAAAGTACATGTAATTCAAGAATCACATTTCATGGCAAACTGACCTTGACACAGAAAGTTGTAACTTGAGCCGCAGTTCCAGTCCGCCCATCTGAACACACCCCCTCCATCTGACGCCAGGCGGATACAGAAATCGCTGCCAGGGTTATTAGGTTCAGAGGACCTCCAGGGATAATTATTGTACCCGATTCCGTAGACACCGGAAGTAACCACCGTACCGTCTTCATATACGTACTGTCCTCCTGATAGCGATAAACCGAACCACACATCTCTAACTGACCTAGAAGAAAAAATGAACCAATGAATCCACAGTAACAAAAACGAATCCCATTTATCGTTAATCGACCTCGACAAAAACGAATCACGTATCGTTAAATGACCGAGACAAAACGAATTATGTATCGTTAACTGACCTAGAAAAAAAACCGAATCACGTATCGTCAACTGACCTAGACAAAAACGAATCAGGTATCGTCAAATGACCGAGACAAAACGAATCATGTATCGTTAACTGACCTAGACAAAAAAGAATCCCGGCCATTTATCGTTAATCGACCTAGACAAAAACAAATCACGTATCGTTAACTGACCTACAAAAACGAATCACGTATCGTCAACTGACCTAGACCAGCATATAGTATATATAGGTCCCTGCAGCTGCCTTGACAAGAGGGAATCCTATTTATCGTTAACCAACCTAGACCTACACAAAACGAATCATATATCGTTAATTGACCTAGACAAAAACGAATCACGTATCGTTAACTGACTTAAAAATAAAAATGAATCACATATCGTTAACTGACCTTGACAAAAAAGAATCACGTATTTGTTAAATGACCTAGACAAATCGAATCACGTATCGTTAATTGACATAGACACAAGAACGAATCACATGTCATAAACTTACCCAAGCAAGACGAAGCGAACTACACAGTACATAGTACATTTAGCTATGACTTTATATAAAGTTATGTGTTTGTGAAACGTATATTAAAATTATTTTTTAGGCTACAATGATCAGAATGAATGTATATAATCTGCTGAGAAGGACTGTACCCCGAGCTTTGTTGTACGTTGACGTATTGGATGGCCGCTTCGTTAATTTCCGCCGATTTTAGTGAGGCCAGCTTCATCCCCATCCCTTCACACGTGGATTTGGCAGATGTCCATCCACGAGTGGACCCAGGATTAAGGTAGAAACCTGTTAAATAAAACAAATTGTAAAGCAGAAAAGAGATTTTTTTTCTATTTATGCGCAATAAAATTTGGCAATTAAGAACTGAAATCTTAGTTCGATTCTTAACAAATTGAGCGATTTACAAAATTGTTTGAACAATTTGAAAAAAATCATTTTGACCATTTGCATTATCATTTTATTTACTACAATATCATTTTCTGAACTCCTAAGAAAATTGTCATTTTAGATAATGTTTGAGTCATTTGTATGATTTAATATAGGATTTAAAGCGTTTATGCATTTTAAAGGCTTTCGATCTGGTTGAATCCGCGTTACTTAGAAGAGTAGGTTAGTTTAAGATCTCCAAAATAGCTCAGAGTTTTTTTGTTTTTTTGTTTTTTTTCAAATCTCAGTATTTTATATCCCGACGATATACAATATTTTGAATTGCAAAATGGGTTTTTTAATTCAAACATTAATTTTAGCACTGTATTAATTATATTTTAAATGAGAGAAATGATTTTTCCCTACCGTGGCATTACAGAAGTACATGATACTACAATGGTTGTAAAATTAATTTTTAATTTTGTACGTGGGTTAAATCTTAAATCGTCCATATGGTATTTGTGAAAATGAATAATGTTCTGTTCAAGTCCTCACAAACACACCTTCACACAAGAAATCCTCAGTTGACGCACAGTCATGGTGTATCCAGCGTAATGACTCGTCCCATTCCATTATGACGCAAGCTTTGGTGACGTCATCTACTGGTGTGGAAGCGTCTTTCCAAGGGGGGTTGTTGTATGAGCCCCAGGAGAGAGTAGTTCCGTCTATCCATTTATACACCATTCCTGTCTGTGACGTATCCCTCTCTAAACCTATCCATACATTTTTGTCTTTTCTGCGCAAAGCATAGCATGTGAAGATTTGAGAACATACTGACTATTTTGAATGATTCACTTTAGAATTTGATAAATGAATTTATACAACAATAGTTGGCAGAGCGTAAGTAATTATAAATCTGAAAAAAGGACAAAATATTTAGCGTATTTGCTTTGTTGAGAACATATTTGCATCGATTTAACTGATATATTATAATTAATGTTTAATTATTCTTTTAAAAACTGTCCATTATTTTGAATCTATCGTACTAAATGTCATACAATGAGAATTAAGACAAATTCAATGGAAAGGCCTATTGTATTTTAACTACCTACCCCATAGAGAGATGTATGTGTTAAGCAAGGCCTATTGTACTTTAACTATACATACATACCCCGGGGAGAGTTGTACGTGTTAAGCAAACTATACATACATACCCCCAGAGAGAGTACAACGTGATAAGCAAGGCCTATTGTATTGAGACTATACATACATACCCCAGACAGAGTTGTACGTGTTACGTGAGGTCTATTGTATTTTAACTATACACACATACCCCACCAGGCTGAAGCTAGCAGCCAATAGGAGCAGCCATTAATCCCGTAGAAGCTAGCAGCCAATAAGGAAATTCATCAAAGAACTGAGAGTACTGAGAGGCAGTACTGTTTTTAATATTTTATTTTAGAAAATTAAGGGTATATGATTGGATAATTAATGCGAAAATTAATTACATAATAAATCAGACACTCGGAGGCAGTACGGCTCACCTGAAGAAAAAATGTGCTTTCTTGAAACTGAAAAAAATAGAAATAAATTACGCAATCATCTTAGTTCACTTGATCAAACAAGCACTAAGAATTGGTTAACTACTTCAAGAAGAATACCTTTTCAACTCTTTCAGGGACCTCAAGAATATGACAGGGCCAATAAGCTAACCTGAAAATTGGTTACTCTATCGATTGTAAACTAAATATTACACAAGTGTAAACTACGTTGAAGTATGTTTCGAACATTATTACCCGGGCAACTTTAAGGGTCTATAAGACTATTAATAACCGTTATCAGTAATAAGAGGTGGTGGTGGTGCCACCAAGTGGTTCCAAGGGCATTTTTAATATTACAGGCAGGTATTATACCCATGATTTATAAAGTGCCCACCATATCGTAACTAGGGCAAGGTTGAAGGACCCCAGGGCTTTTGTTTAGTGCTATCAGAACGGGACTGTAGTGGTACCACCAGGTGGTGCTAAGTGCGTAGAGTATATTTCAAGCAATTAATTGTCATCAATTATTGGCCACTTGAACAAATTAATCACTGGAGATGGAGGATCATTTGTCAACCTTACAAAGGGTCCCAGGGACATTACATTATATAACATTATATCGAGAAAAAAACCCATTACAGAACAGCTATTCTTTGAAGTATCCACCAAATGATTACTGGGGCAAGGTAGAGGGGTCCTAGGGCTATCATTTCCCACCTTCAAAATGAGGCTGTAGTGGCACCACCAAGTGAAGCCAAGTGCGTTGGGCATATTTCAAGCATTCATTTGTCCTCCATTTCTGGGAACTTGAACCATCTTTCACTGGGGATAGGTTAAGGGTCTTAGGGGGTATCCCCTGTCAAAGTTTCAAAGGGCCCCAGGGGCTGGGAAAGGTCGGTTAGCTAACCTGAACTTTGATGTTTTTCATCATTGTATATTGTGAAGCGAGAAAAGGCCAGCTATTATACGCCTTATCTTTGAAGTGTTCATCAAATGACTATTGGGGCAAGGTAGAGGGGTCCTAGGGCTATCATTTCACACCTTCAAAATGGGGCTGTAGTGGCACCACTTGGTGGTTCCAAGTGCGTGGGGCATATTTCAAGCATTCATTTGTCCTCCATTTCTGGGAACCTGAACCATCTTTCACTGGGGATGGGTTAAGGGTCTTAGGGGGTATCCCCTGTCAAAGTTTCAAAGGGCCCCAGGGGCTGGGAAAGGCCGCTTAGATAACCTGGACTTTGATGTTTTTTCATCATTGTATATTTTGAAACGAGGAAAGGCCAGCTATTATACGCCTTATCTTTGAAGTGTTCATCAAATGACTATTGGGGCAAGGTAGAGGGGTCCTAGGGCTATCATTTCCCACCTTCAAAATGGGGCTGTAGTGGCACCACTTGGTGGTGCCAAGTGCGTGGGGCATATTTCAAGCATTCATTTGTCCTCCATTTCTGGGAACCTGAACCATCTTTCACTAGGGATGGGTTAAGGGTCTTAGGGGTATCCCCTGTCAAAGTTTCAAAGGGCCCCAGGGGCTGGGAAAGGCCGGTTAGCTAACCTGAACTTTGATGTTTTTTCATCATTGTATATTGTGAAACGAGAAAAGGCCAGCTAATATACGCCTTATCTTTGAAGTGTTCATCAAATGGCTATTGGGGCAAGGTAGAGGGGTCCTAGAGCTATTATTTCCCACCTTCAAAATGGGGCTGTAGTGGCACCACTTGGTGGTGCCAAGTGCGTGGGGCATATTTCAAGCATTCATTTGTCCTCCATTTCTTGGAACCTGAACCATCTTTCATTGGGGATGGGTTAAGGGTCTTAGGGGGTATCCCCTGTCAAAGTTTCAAAGGGCCCCAGAGGCTGGGAAAGGCCGGTTAGCTAACCTGAACTTTGATGTTTTTTCATCATTGTATATTGTGAAGCGGGAAAAGGCCAGCTATTATACGCCTTATCTTTGAAGTGTTCATCAAATGACTATTGGGGCAAGGTGGAGGGTTCCTAGGGCTATCATTTCCCACCTTCAAAATGGGGCTGTAGTGGCACCACTTGGTGGTGCCAAGTGCGTGGGGCATATTTCAAGCATTCATTTGTCCTCCATTTCTGGGAACTTGAACCATCTTTCATTGGGGATGGGTTAAGGGTCTTAGGGGTATCCCCTGTCAACGTTTCAAAGGGCCCCAGAGGCTGGGAAAGGCCGGTAAGCTAACCTGAACTTTGATGCTTTTTCATCATTGTATATTGTGAAATGAGAAAAGGCCAGCTATTGTACGCCTTAACTTTGAAGTGTTCATCACATGACTATTGGGGCAAGGTAGAGGGGTCCTAGGGCTATCATTTCCCACCTTCAAAATGGGGCTGTAGTGGTACCACTTGGTGGTTCCAAGTGCGTGGGGCATATTTCAAGCATTCATTTGTCCTCCATTTCTGGGAACTTGAACCATCTTTCATTGGGGATGGGTTAAGGGTCTTAGGGGGTATCCCCTGTCAAAGTTTCAAAGGGCCCCAGAGGCTGGGAAAGGCCGGTTAGCTAACCTGAACTTTGATGTTTTTTCATCATTGTATATTGTGAAACGAGAAAAGGCCAGCTATTATACGCCTTATCTTTGAAGTGTTCATCAAATGACTATTGGGGCAAGGTAGAGGGCTCCTTGGGCTATCATTTCCCACCTTCAAAATGGGGCTGTAGTGGCACCACTTGGTGGTGCCAAGTGTGTGGGGCATATTTTCAGCATTCATTTGTCTTGCTTTATTGGGCACCTAAACCAACTATCACTGAGGACAGGTTAAGGGTCCTAGGGATATCTCCTGTCAACGTTTCAAAATGTCCCAGGGGCTGGGATAAGTTGGTTAGCTAACCTGAACTTTGAGGTTTTTCATCATTGTATATTGTGAAACGGGAAAGGTCAGCTATTATAGGCTGATGCTTATCTAATGTCACCTATATTTTCAACATTATCTGTGAAACTGAACGCGACATTTGTCGCAAATTTGTAAACATTTGTAGACATGGCAGTTCTATTGTATCCTAGCCTTTCATTTATTAACTCGATCGTTCAAAGTTGAAACCAATGGAAATAATTTTTTTAACAGAAAATTTGCAATTTTATTATAAAGCAATCGTGTTTCTAAAAACTATTTAGAACGGATTACTGTCTTGTTCAACCAGGAAGTTGGAACTCTTGACGTAGTGTCTAGAATGTATGCCTTTCAAGGAAAGAGTTGTGAGTTCGATATCGGTTGGGTGCATTTTAATTTTTTTTTTAATTATGCCCCTGGAAACGAAGTTTCGGGGGCATAAAGTTTTTGTCGTGTCCGTCTGACTGTCTTTCTGTCTCTCTGTTTGTCTGTTTGTCCGCAAAAACTTTATCCTTATTCATAACTTTTGATTTAGTAGAGCTATGACATTCATATTTTACATGTGTATTTCTAGAGAGAAGACCTTTTGTGTACCACCATATTTGACCTTTTGACCTTGATCTTGAGGTTTGACCCACTTTTACACAAAAATTTTGAATATTTACTTTGGCCATATCTTTTGAATAGTATCTACCAGGACATTTATACTTCATGTATAATTTTTTTGTGGCACGGCCTTTCATTGGATACCTCAAACCTTGACTTTTTGAGCTTGACCTTCGAGATTTACGTACTTATAAAAAAAACTTTAAGCTTGGCTATAACTTTTGAACAGAAAGTGCTAGGGCTTTCAAACTTCACAAATGTAATTCTTGTGAAAGGACACTTCATTGGATACCAAGAACCTTGACCCTTTGACCTTGACCTTGGAGTTTGACCTACTTTAAAAATACAACTTTGACCATAATTTTTGAAGGGTTAGTAATAGACTTTTATACTTCACATATTTTATTCTTGTAAAAAGACCTCTCATTTGTTACCAAAAACCTTGACATTTTGACCTTGACCTTAGAGTTAGACCCATTTTTACACAAAAATTGCATATTTTTACTTTTAGCCCTCAGTTTGGTAGATACTAGGAATTTAATTTTTCAAATATAACTTCTTTTTGGCAAGACCTTTCATTAAAACCAAGAATTTTGACCTTGACCTTTGAGATTTCTGGACTTATGAAAAAACGTCAACCTTGGAAATAAATTTCGAAGAGGAAGGGCTAGGGTTTTCAACCTTCACATATGTAATTCTTGTTACAAGATCTTTTATTCAATACCAATAACCTTCTGACCTTGATCTAGGAGTTTAACGTACATAAAAATCTTTTTAACCTTATAACTTTTGAATG